TTTGGATAGTTCCATGTGCTTGTTAGCTCTCCATATACTGCCCGCCTCTCCAACAAAAACATCTAGATTGAATATTAGTACAGCTCTCTCTTTCAACAAGTGCGCATTCAATAGTCAACGTACTTTTGTTGGTTTTCCTCCATTCGTCAGGTTTGGGTTGACCGGGCGGAAGAGGCGAGTAAATATCGAACGGCAGCTGGAAATCCCTCCCCAACTGTAGCAGTCGGTCGCCTGCGAACATTGGCATTGGCAGCAGCCTTCGCTGCGACGGAGCGCCTTGAGATCGCCTCTTCGCGGTCTTATTTCTATTTTGGCTGGGCCGGGCAGTCGTATATTCTTGCCCAGTGTACAGTCCATGAGACAGCCAGCGCTTCGGCTTGAACCTGGGCCCTTTCGCGGCAGTGTCGCTTTGCGCAGTGGACTCATCAATGGCTTTGACCTTGGATGGCAGGTCACTTTCAGAAACACGTCGTTTCTTCGCAGCCGGAGGCCCGCTTGACGCGAGAGAGGCAGGCTCTTCCTTGGGCGCAATGATGTTCCGAGGTCGCAGACTGGCTCTGCGGTCAGGAGTTTGCCCTTTCTCCATCATATCCTTTGACCTTTTGCCCAGGACGCTACCCGCCCGTTCGACAAAATCCGACGCCTTTTCCAACAAACTCAGACGAGTTGAGCGCCTTGGCTTGAGATCCTCAACCCGGGCCGCCAATTCATCCTTCTTCCGGTTGGAACTATCCTCCTTAGTCAATGCCCGTTCCACGCGCTTCCTCAGTGATCGCTGCGGTAGTGATGAGCTAAGGTCATCTAGCTGTGGCTCTTGGGACGAGTTGGAGACAGGCGTATCTGGAGTTATTAGATGGTCCTCAACCTCCACGATATGTCGTGTAAGCGTTGACTTCGTCCAAGCGGACGTTTCCATGACCGCTATGCTGTGCCGGAGGTGGGAGGACTGGGACCGCTTGAGTTTCGGGACATCGTTGGCTAGGTTCCCACTAGAATTCGTAGGGTCCATTTCACCAGACGAGGACGCGATGGTTGCATCTTCCTGCTCAGCTTTGGCCTCAAATTGACCCGAAGCCCGTAGAGAAGAGCGTGTCACACGTGTTGACGTCCGTCGCAGCGTAGGCTTTTCTTCATGGCACGCGTTCTCGCTGTTACTGGAGGTTTCGGAGCGGCTGTTCTCAGGCGTAAGGAGTTGTTCTGGCATTTCTAGACCTATTGTCTCGTCGACGTGCTCGTGAGCATGCTTCTGGAGGACCGAGAGGGTCGCGGGTGTCGCGGGTGACGCGACGGAGGATCTAGTGCGCTTTCCCATCTCGATTTCCTTGAGAACGATGCGTACGTGATTATGTTGCTGAAACAGTTGAAAATGCAGAGGTAGGCTAGAATAAAAAGACCATTTATCTGATTCAGTCCGGGGCTTGGGGAAGGTTTTGTTGTTTGCCTGCAGTTGAATGCGATCACAACGGGCAAGGGCAATAATAGGAGCTCCTGTTATCAGGCGTATCTGCACAACGGTCAACAGCTCAAAAACCAGGTCACAACAAGACTCTGACAAACATGCTGAAAGGTATGAAGCACAAATGAGTCAAAGGATGGTTTCAGCAAGGTGGACGGCGAGGCATTGGAAGGGAAGGAGAAAGATGAAGGTGCGGAGGGGGTCCAGTGTCTGTCGTCAGCCAGTTTGGGACGGCCGGAGGGGAGGCACGGCCGCGGAATGCAGAGGGAAACAGTAGCGAGACTACGGACAACACTAAGTCTTCTGGTCACGACCTTCTGCGCTCAGTTCTGCCATCTCCTTTTGGGAAAATTGAGCTTGGACGAACTCTTCTCAAGGATCTGGAGTTCCAACATGCGGCCGCTCCTGCATTCGATAACAGCCTCTGCAGGCGCCTACAAGCTACATTTGCCAGTGGAGGGATACAGACCGAGCTCTTCTCTTTGCTCTCTCTCTTGAATGAATTATTCATGGTCTATCTGTAAGGTCGGAACAGATTATCATACATATATCCTTGATGTCGCGTGCTATAAACCCAATCCAACAAATTGAACCAAGACAGAGGGCCCTCAATCAGTGGGAAATTGAGGATCGAAATGAAGAGATAGCAGTCATGAAGAGCAAGTGAATCGGGATCGCTCAATTGCAAGGTCTCATTTTGAAGGGGGAATCTTAGGAAATCAGAAGGGAATGCACGAAGATATCAAGATCGTGAAGTGTTGATATTCAACACTCAGAACAACAAAAGTCAAGTTAATCAAAGCAGCATCAGTGGCTTTGAATAAGAAGATATAGAAATATAAGAAAAACAAAATGTGTAAGGAATGCAATCACAGAGATGCGATTAGCTTCAGAGAAAGATCGAATAGATAGTGATGTGACGATGAGCTCACCCAACACCACAGCCGTGTTAGCCCTGCTGTGGAGTCGGAGGAACATGCTGCATTTCGATGTCCGCCTGAGCCTCAACATCTCGAGGCCGGTCTTTCCGTTTTAGAGCGCTCAAGCGCTGGTCACCCTCTTGATAAGGCCTTTTGAACTGCAAATAGGTCGGAGGGCGGGGACGCGCTAGCACAGATATCCAGTTTCGGAATACGTTCCCCTGAGTGAAGGGACGATGGCGGTCTACTTTGGCGAACTTGTGCGAGTTCAGGTATTCCCTTGTCGTCTCGCCTCGCCCTACCAAAAAGAGGTGATATGCCCATAATGAGGCCGGGTAAGGCGCTGCAAGTGCTCCATATATAACCATGGCCCAAGGGACTCTCCACTTGTCAATTGCGGAGCCGAACGAAACGCCTTCGCGAGCACGATACACCAGAACATGTGCAAGGCTGGCTCCAAGCAAGAATAGGGAAAGGAGAGTCGCAGAGCTGACGAAAGCAAAGAAGTATCGATAGTTACGGCGACCAACGCAATTGTTCAGCCAAACGCAGTGATGATCTAGAGTTTCAACGCAATTGTCACACACGCGGCAATGGTAGCAGCGCGGTGGGCGCCAGATGTTGCAAGTCTTGCAGTACTTCACCGGAACGTCCATTGCCGCGACATCAGATGTTGCCAGCTTCACCATCACCCAGTCATTGGTCGGCGGCCCGATCATCAATGGGTCGCCTGAGGGCTCCGGCGGCGGCATTGGATGAAGATTTCGAGGAATGATCCCAGGATCGACGACCGAGGCATGTATGAATGACGAAAAGCATAAGTAAAAAAGATAGGCAAACAATATCGGGATCGCAGGTGAGATATGATGCCAGAGCCAAGGTGCCGAATATGCAAAGAACAAAGCGGAAGGCAGAACCACAAAGATGCCCGTTGCAATGTTGATGGGTTTGTCTCTAGAATTCTGGAACCGACCGCCACCGAAAAACAGGGTGTTACCGGTGAAGTGCTCATAATTCTTGCCCAAGTTAACTCTACCTGTTGTGTGATGTTGCTTCTGGATGGATCCAGGGGATGAGTCTGCAGATGACAGTCGCTCATGAGCCCGACTATCGCGGGGGTCTGGTGCAGGATTTTTGTTCTGTAGAGACAGAAACGAGAGAGGTGATCGTTGGGGAGGATCGCTGGCTTCGAGGCTATGATTCACCCCCAGCTTGAGGTGTTGCGGCGTAATTTTGTACACTCTGTCCCGATCGTGCAAGAGTTTTGCACTCTCGCCCACGCTTCTTGCCGTCACATTTCCGACGGGACTGGCGTTCGATGTATTTCGATCTGAAATTATGGGATCTGTAAACTCGGTACCTCGCGATGGAGGGGCCTCCTCCTGTGGAGCAGAACTCTGGGGGAAAGTGCTATTCGAGATCATGCTTCGCCTATTTTGGTCGACCTGGTCATTCCAATCCTCGGATGACGTTGCCGTTTCTTTGGTGACTGGCCGACCTCGATGGGCTTGGAGCCTCTGAGAGGACATTGGTCGAAAGAAGCCTTGCGCAGTGAGGGAAGGAATATGACTGCGACTCAATCTGCTCGCGGAGCTTCCCGGTCTACTTGTCATCTGGCTGTGTGCGGTGATTGAACTTCTCGCGGGAGGGGGGCCTCGTCTAGAAAGAGATCTCTGCGACTGAGGCGGACGTGATGAAATCCCAGTATTTGCTTGGGATTGTTCGCCATCTTCAGATGCCACGTCTGTCATTCGAGAAGATATGCCCCCGACGGAAGGTGGGCGTGGAATACCGAGGACAGGTTGTGCGGTCGATCCTTGAGCCACATCGCTCGTCTCCGGCGCTGACGACATGATTGTCCACGAGTTGGTAAGGATTTCTGCTAATAGTAATGCCGATTGATCATGGTGCAGTTTGTGGCGAAGGAAGCGAAAAGGTACTCGGGGACTGCTGTTGATGAAACGAGTCTATGGCAGCCGAGTCGCAGAAAGGATAGATGAGAGAGGACGCTAATCGGAGTTTAGACGTGGATAAGGAGCGACAAGGAGATTATTTCTGCGTTATCTTTCGCAACTGGAATAATGGATCGTAAAGGAATGTAAGCAACCTATAATATAGCGGTGTAGTTAGCTTCATGTGTGCTTGCGAACTCTCAGTACTGCAAGCCATGGGGGCAGAGCAGAGCATATGTCATGACCCCTATCGGCTATGGGAATTAATTGGGGTGATCCCTCACAGACCTTAAGTATAGTTGCGAAGTTGATGAGCGGATGTAAGAGGAAGAGACAGCACTTCGTCACATCACGGCTGGAAGAAGAAGAGTCCAAAGGCGAGTGAGTTAGCAAGCACCCTGGAACCCTTTCAAATTGACGAGGCGTTGACACCCTTGCGCGCTGGGCGACTCATTGAACGATACAGCATTTTGCCTTTGCAGCCGGCGGCGAGTCCCAGCCCAATAACATGCATGACTAAGCGTCGGGAGCGGATGGGCCAACGGGATGTCACCTGATGATGCGCCCAGCAACATCATCGTTTGACACTTCGATCTTCCCACTTTCTCTCAGAGAATCCCCCCGATTGCAGTCCTCGCAGACAACCAGTCTTCAAACTTACAAATTATCACCATGTCTTCAATTGCTGCCATGGCTTCGCGCCGGGCTTTCGCCCGTCAGTCTCTTTTCCGGGCTGCCCCGCGACGAAACTACAGCTCCAAGCTAGAGGAAGCCACCCTCGACAAGGCTCCCAAGCGCGACCCCGAGCTCTACGTATGGACCTCTGCTGAGCTCCGCTTGGTCTGATTTGGATTTCTCACTAAAGGATGTTGTAGGTTCTGCTTGGTGTCATGTCCGGAGCTTTCCTGATTGCTGGATGGTGAATAATCCTCCCTGTCGCCCGCATTCCACACAAAAAGCGACTGCAGAACCCGATTGTCGCCAATTGCACGCTGGATTGATGCGGACGCCGCTTACCAATTATTGTCAACAGGTACTTCGGTAGAAAGCCCACCTCGGTCACCTCTGAGAGCAACGTTCGCATTGGAGAGAGCGCCATGCCTTGGGAGCGCGATGACGACGGCAAGATCTACAAGTACCAGTACCACCCTCACGGTGACAAGAGCCAGCCCCTCAGAAACGCTCCCAGCGCTCTGAACACCGTCATTGTCCCCAATGTCACTCTGCCCGCGGTAATGACCCCTCGCCTTTTATCGTCGTAACGGATCTTGTCAGGTAGTTCATGAGTAGATTGCTGACAACCCACTTCTTTTTCGTCATAGGACCTTCACGAGCGCTTCAACAAGTACGGTAAGGAGGAGTGGGACTACTAGATGGCCATACGGCAGAGGATCGAAAGCTAGAGACGAACATCGGATGTGTTCCGATGTTGATTGCTGTACACTAAAAGCGACTGTGAGAGCTAGAGTTTGGGGGTGCAGATTCATGCCAGAGCTTTGTGTGCATAGTATGTTTTGATTGGAAGTCAATATGTGATCGTCTTTTCATATTACCATACAGTGGGTATGGTTCGCATGAAGAATTTGTGAAACCACACGTATAATCGCACATTTCATTCAGTTAAAATATTGTTCAGGAGAAGAGATATTGAACTCGACTTTGCCAAGCCTCCAATGTTCAGAAAAGAGGACCAGCAACCACTCCGAAAGCCACTCATTACACTCCATATATGACATTCCATTGCTTTAATTCTGAGTTGCCTCATTTGCCTCGCTAGCTGGCTTTGGCTCAGGGGAACTTGGTTCCTCGACTGAGCTCTCACCTACAGCAACCGAAGCTGGGCTGTCTCCTGCAGCCTGCTGTTCCTGGTTCTTGACAGTCTCAGGATTTTGTCCCTCCACATCTGGGTGTGGCGGTGCAATCTGACCGTCTACCATCTCTACTTCATGGCCATGTTCAAGGCGAGTCCGAGTTTCGTGCCGGGTTTCAAAAGAAACCTTGCCTTCCTTGGCAAGAGATGCGACGAGCGCCTCATCGAGAACATTGCCATTCTGATCACGGTACTCCACTCGCGCCATTGTTCCGCGAGGCTGTTTGGCCTGGGGAGTCACGCTTGCCTCCTGAGCCTCCTTGTGAACCTCCTGCTGATGCTGCTGGGGCGGTACCACCGGCGGTTCCTGAATGGGTGAATCTTGGACAGGTAATCCTGGAACTGGGGTTACCTGTGCGGAGGGCGTTGAGGATGCAATTGGGTTCGCATTGACAAATTGGGTAACATATTGACCAAGCTAATGCGTTGTCGTCAGCCGTCGGGCGTTCATTCATCTAGTATCCTCGTCGCGGAGGCTGCCATTCTGGAACACTTACGTCAGTGTAAAATGTGTTGCAATCAAAATCCCAAGTGCTAAGGAGTTTGACCTTCTTGCAAGCATCTTGGGTCCAAGGATTTCCATAGATCAATGGGGAGTAAAGAGTGAAGGTGAAGATGCTGAGAGCCAGAAAGATTGCGACCAATCCTTTGCCAATGATAGGTCTGGATGACAGACCCAAGGCCTTGAAGCGATTGGCGATAAAGTCGAACTCCTGGCACAGCGCCATGAGGGCGAAGTAGAGGGCCGGGAAGTAATGGTGTAGAAAGAGCTGCCGAGCCATGAGATAGAAGGGGAAGTAGTGGAAAGCCCAGCCAAGCACGCTTGTACCGACTTCATAATCAAATCGCTTGAAGTTGACGTTACAATAATCACCACAACTGCGTTGCCAACGGATAACGGCGATGCCCTTGAAGACAAGGTAGATGACTATGGCGGCAGTCGACGACCACCAGATGAAGGGGTTGCCGAGGAGATAAATCTGACGGTGATCACGACCCCAGAAATTGATGCCCCTGAGCAGTGTTGGCCACGACGGTGGGCGAGAATCCCAGGCATGGGACTCGGTCAGCCCAGCATTCGTAGTCCACATGACTTTCTGGAGCTCCCAGAACTTCCCAAAGAACCCAGGGTTTCGGTAATTGACCTTTTCCGCATCCTCAGGTAACATCGGATGGTTGTTTGACTCGATGTACCAAAGACTGTTCGGCAGGGTGCCTCCTCTGGCGCAAGTCACTTCCTGCTGATCGAAACCCCACTCAGGAAGCTTCACCTTGTGAGAGAATAGAACGCAGCCAGTCATGACATGGACAAGCCGGAATTTAGACTCGATGGTTCTTAACCTTTTCTTCGCTTCCTCGCCGTCGGACTTCGACTTGACAATCTCAACACGGAAGAGATCATTTGCGTCTCCTGGGAACCCCTCATACCCATACGCAGACACTTCAAATTGCCAGTCAACGTCTGTCACAGGAGGTCGCTCGTCGTGCGAGTGAAGTCTCCTATGTGTTACCGCATGGTAGAGTCTTACCACCGCACCATCTTGGATGTACTCGGTAGTAATGTTGTCCCAAGCGTAAGGGCCCTCCACTTGTCCATAGGGACCAAGGGGCTGAGTCTGATTCTCAAGAATGAAGACATTGTTCTCGTCTTTGTGGGGATAGAGAGTGATCTGCTGCTGTTTGCTTCCCGTGGGATACATGTGGGCATGAGAGTGGAGGTAGCCACCCTGGGTGTTCAGGTGACGAAAGCTCACACGCGAACCGAAAACGACATCTGCAGGAACATCTTGCATTCCTTTGGAGTTTAATGTGGCCTGGAATTCCGACGACATGAATCCATCTCCATCTCCCGGGTTGACCAAGCATAGGAAATGAATTGCGAACATTCCACAGTAAAAGCCAAGGGGAATGATGATGAGACAGAAAACCCGGGCAAAGAAGTGTTTGAACCATAAGCGCTGGAGCAATTAGCTTTGACATAGAGGAAGTCTAATCAATGACAAAGACGTACCGGCGTGACGTTCTGGGCGTCGCCCAAAAGCACCCACAGTTGTAGGACAGTGAGAGAACCGACCCACGCGACTGTGAAAAGCCCGACCCATTTAACGCTCAATGTGGCGCCCAGGGATAGACCCGTTGCTGCCAACCAGAACCACCAGGATCCACGGAAGGCATGAGAAGGCCCAAGCTCCTGCTGGTTCGCAAAACAAGTAAACGCCAGTGCTGTGAGCGCTGTAAAGAAGACCAACGGCGAGTCCAATAGAATTAAACGGGATTGAGTGATTAGACCATTTTCTGGCAGGTGGTCAGCGTACATAGTTTGGTCAAATATATATAGAGAGGTATCATCTTACCAAAGATTATGACTCCAGCTCCGAGGACAGCAGTGATGGTTTGGCACCCACTCGCTTTCAGGGTCAGAAACATCAAAGGAACTGTAAGGACACCCAATATGGCTGGAAGCAAGCGCATAGCAACATATGGGACTCCGGGCTCAAGATAATCCTTGCCAATGTCTTTGAAGTCAAAGTTACCATCAAAACCAGCCAGCCAGCCAGCAAGTGTGATGAGCAGTTTGGCGAGAGGAGGGTGCACATCCATGAAAAATCTGCCCTTTATATATTTGCTCGCAAAGCCGCCGAAGCTGTTCACCAATTATTAGCTTCATAGCGCACCGATAATATGTGCAATCAAAAAGAGCGATATGAAGACGTACTGGACTTCATCGAAGACGACGCTAGAAGGCTGATAGATACGGAAGAGTCGAACAACCAGAGCAACAAGCGTGACCAAGACGAGCGCCTTATAGTCCGAAGTGGGAAGGTGGAGTATATTGTTATCCTTGACACCGTCTGATCCATAACTTGATATGCTTGCCGGCGCTTTCTTGCGATCCTTCGGTCTCGGAGAGCGACTTTTAGAGCGGCCTTTTCTAGGCAAAGGCATGACCTGTAAGGTCTCTTTCGATTTTTGCGACATGTCCGATTGGTGCTCCCACAATTGGAGCGAAAGTAGGTAGATCAAATGACAAGTAGAGAAATTATGCCGCCAGACAGCGTAATGATCTGGCACGAGTGGTTGAATGCTCCGACTCCAGAGGGGAGCTCTTAGATTACCCCACGCCGAAGGATGAAACTAAACTGATTGGGAGATTGGGTTATAAATGAGAGTAATGAATCGAAATGCGACTCGCCATGACAAAATTAAAAGATAAAAGGAACAGGACGAAGGCTACTATCAGAAAAGTAGCAAAAGCAGGATAACATGTGTGAAACAATCAGGAGGTCAAAGAAAGCGTCAGCTCAGTTTAGGCCAGATGTCAGCGGAGGCGGACAAGAGCTTAGTAAGGGTATTATGGGGCCGGCGTGTGCCTAGGTAGGAACTACTGCGAAGGGCGAGTATTGGTGGCAGGGTACTTAGCTACTCCATACTTCGTGGACAAATCGTTGGCTTTAGCTCGAAACGTCTCCACTGTCAAGGTTGATCATCGAAATGAATATCTCTGGCCGCCGTTCAAGGTATTCAGGAACTCCATTCTTAGAACCTGCCTAGTACCTACAGTCGCAATAGATGAAGACCAAGTAGTACGGATGCGGATGCACTTAGGTACGTAGGGTATGTACCGAATACCACCATGCATCAGGTTAGATTGAGATAAAATTACTAGTCGTAATTTTCAGCTGGCCTTAAAGACTCCACCAATAATAGTAATTGTCTATGCGCGCGTTTATCCGATAGCCGCCAACAGGCGCGGCAACTTTCGATCCCCATGAAGTCAGTCCCCGGGCAAAAAGCATGCCAGCGGAGTCAGGGACAGCAACCACACCGTCCTGAATATTCTCCATCGTCATTCTGATTCTGGCATTGAATATGGCTTCTAATGGAAATACTCCAACACTCCTAGATGAGGTGAACAAACCCCCAGAGGGTGTGGTTCTGCCACCTAAAGACATTCGAGGTCGGTCTCCCAAAGGGTTTCTGCTAGAGATATGTGCTGACCTTCCGTTTAGCTATTGTGGAGAAGACTGCAGGCTATGTCGCTCGGAACGGATTTGTTTTTGAAGGTGCGCGATTGCTATACGTCGATTTCAGCGATCCCAAGTTTCCATAGTAAGCTAACAGTACTCTTCCAGAGCGTGTGCGCGAAAAAGAGAAAAACAACCCTAAATTCTCCTTTCTGAACCCCGGGGATCCTTATGCGAGCTTCTACCAGTGGCGGTTGAACGAGATCAAAGAAGGAAGAGGGACCGCAGTAGCAGCAGGTCGTCCAGGCGAGCCAACGGCAGCTCCAGAACCAGAGAAGCCCAAGGGGCCCGCTGAGCCACCGGAATTTCACTTTTCGGCTCGGATGCCTATAATAAACGCGCAGGATCTGGAGGTTGTTAAACTTACGGCGCTCTATGTTGCCAAAAGGGGCAAATCTTTTATGACCGCTCTGTCGCAGCGCGAAGCGAGAAACTTTCAGTTCGATTTTCTTCGCCCGCAGCACAGTCTCTATCAATTTTTCACTCGATTGGTCGATCAATATACCATCCTGTTAAGGACAGAAGGAATCGACGAGTCCACGTCAGAGAAGAGCAGAATCGCGGAACTAGAATACAATGTGAAGAACAAATTCCACATCTTGGAGCGGGCGAAACAGCGCGCTGAATGGGTGAAGTACCAAGAGCAACAGAAGCAGAAGAAAGAAGAGGAGGAGGAACAGGAGCGAATAGCTTATGCGCAGATCGACTGGCATGATTTCGTGGTGGTCGAAACTGTTCTCTTCACTGAAGCGGATGATCAGGCCGACCTACCCCCCCCTACATCTCTCAATGATCTACAATCTGCCTCCCTGGAACAAAAAGCTATGATGTCGCTAAACCCACTGCGGATCGAAGAAGCGATGCCAACAGACCAGGAAGCCCAAGTCTACTACAACGCTTATCCTCCATCACAACCCGAACCAGTGGCACAGCCTGCCCCTCCGTCTGTTTCACCATATCCTCCGCAAGTGCCGGTACCGCAACCCTATCCTATGGCTTCTTCCGCAGCGCAGGAAGAAGAGCAACGGATTCGTGAGCGGATGGAGGCCCGAGAACTGGCCGCCGCAGCACAAGCAGCTGCCAAAGCACCTCCTGGACAGCAACCGATGCGCATCCGCTCCGACTACGTACCGCGCGCACAAGCGCGCCGTCTCAATCCTTCCGGCGCCACTGCACTCTGCCCCAACTGTCACCAGCAGATCCCTGTGGCTGAACTCGACCAGCACATGCGTATCGAACTGCTGGATCCGCGGTGGAAGGAGCAGCGCGCCAAGGCGGAGTCGCGGAGCGCCACCACTAACTTGTCGACCGCCGATGTGGTCAATAACCTGAAACGGCTGGCGAGCCAGCGAAGCGACGTATTCGATTCATCGCTCACCGCAGCCATCGATCCTGAGGAGGAAGCAAGGAAGAAAAGAATGGCCTACGAGAACGTCCCTGGAGCGGGCCCTACACCGCCGATGGTTGGGCCTGCAGGGGGCCCGCCCAACCCTCAGAGCCTGAATATCGAGGAGCAGATTCGACAAATTCACGAACGTTACAAGCAGGGTTAAAGCATTAGAAATAGCAGGGGGAAATCCAAATTGTTTCGAGGTGTTTCTCATTCTGGAGTACTTGTCCTTGGTCTCTCTTCTACGAAAAGGCGCATTTACCTGTAAAGTATCACTTCTTCTTGCTTCCTTGGTCACTATCAAACGTGAGAGTTGCCCAATTATTTTATCCCTTCAATTAATGACTTTCTTTTGCATATGCTTGACTGTGCAATGAGTAGAATTTCCTCAAAATCCATGAACCCTCTGTATTTGATTATCCTACTCCCGTAGAAGTCTTGATACAGCGTCGAGCTGTCATCATCAGCACAATATTGATGGGCAGGCTGACTTAAAGCGTAGGCACTTTAAAGATGGAAGACGATTCAGTCAATATTCCCGAATATTCATCATTATCTGCAGAAATCTATCGTATATGTGCAAGTAGATGTCATGTACCAGACACAAATCATGCTGTGCACCATTCACTCCATATATTAAACCCTGAAGTCTTTTCCGCTGAAAATTAATGGAAACAACGCATAGAAGGGGCCGAAAGTGTAAGTATGAGCAAACCAAATAAGGAATAAAACACGCTGGATAGGACGGGTGGACGTCAGGTCAGCTGGATGCTCGATGGGAAAGGAAGCCAGGTCAAACAGTCCTGAGTAACACCACAAAGAAAGTAGTAAAACAAGCGGAAAAGCAGAAACAGAAAGGAAGCATATTAGGTATACAACGTCGAAGCCGCTGCTCCATATTAATTAATAATACACGTAGCCTGCTGCGCGGTCGAGCCACTGACAGGCAGCTATGCGAGAAGGGCAATGGACATGTAAGTTGAGGAATAGCGGCAGCAAGGGGGGACTCGAAAATGAAGGACAGTTGTATCATAGTATGTGAAACGGAGAGAACGCTGAGGCGAAAGTTTTCAGCTTCGATCGTCATCATGGTCGTCATCATTCTTCGTGGTCCGAATAACGAGAGACTCCTCAACATGAGTGATAGACTTGGGCTCGTCACTAGTCGCAGATAGTGTCACTTGACTCACGCCATGTTCAAGATAGTCGTCTCTTTCTTGCTCCGAAGCATGAGACTGGGGACTGTCATAGAATGGCCTAGAAACGCCTGATGCGGAAGTATACCCACTCACGGATGCATTGTCGTAATCGGAGTCGGAAACTCCGTGGTCATTGTCATGATCGTGAGTTTCACTTGTCTCAAAAGGGGCGTCAAGGCGATCTTGCTCATCATCGCATATTGTGTCTCCCAAGTTACGTCTTGATTGGGAAGGACCAGAGTTTTCAAGGCCATTAGCCTGAGCACACGTAGGGACGACCCCTCCGGCGATGCGGGACCAAAACATGCGCTCTCTCAAGCGAACTGTTTCTTCCCAAGCGTCTTTCTCTTCCTCTGCATCGCCCGCACGGATATGACCGTCCAAGATGAGACGTAGATAGCCAGTAAATTCACAAGAAGAGCGAACCTTCTCTAGACAAAGGACACACAATGGATAGCGCTGAGCCGTATCACTGTCGGACGTCCTAAAGCGATGCGTTCTCTCATTGGCAGATCCAGGTCTACGATCTCCACAGAGTGAACATGGGAATCCATATTTCCTTGTTGCAGGCGGGATCGGTTCAACAACGAGGCTTCCTTCGCAGATGCTGCTCAATACCGCACGTCGTGTCAACCATGAAATTCCGGGCGCAGCATCCAGCCGAAGAGTAGGTTCAATGTCCTCCATGAGCACGCGTTTGTAGAAGCGCGTTTCTTTGAGTGGGATATGGGAGGTGGTCGGCTGAGGAGATGACATGCTTCCATTTGGCGAATGAGTGGACTTGGCGGGGGATGAAGATGCCGAACCGAACCCAGCACTGCTGAAATTGGCTAAGCTCATAACATTCAAACCGGCGTAAGAACCACTGGCAGCCCTGCTTGGGGGCTTCGAAGCTCTCGATAGACTGAACAGTTCTCGAAAATCTTCAAAGGCCTGAATATCCGTCCGACATACTGACTTGAATAGATGAGGGAAACTGGTTGAGGGGCCTGGAGCGACTTCCTCGAGGTGTGAGGATGGTTCGGGAAGATCAGCAGTCTCAAAGCTCCTCGTAAATATACCTGGTAATTGTTGATGCCCACCTGGCGAGGATGGCGTTGTGGAAATGGTGGTGCGAATTTCAACATCGTCCTTGGCAAGGTCCATTCCTTGCATCACAGACTTAAGCTCGGCTAGCTGTTCTTGATGAGATGCAAGGAGTAATTCTGTGTCCTTCACCTGAGCGCGTAATTGTTCGTTCTTCTTTTCGACCGCCTCACGCTCCAGCTTCGCGGCTGCGACCATCTATTCCAGTCATGTTAGATACCGAGTTATATATCGTTGTTGTCGAAAGATACCATCGACTTACCTTATTCGCCTCCTCGAAGAGTGCTGCAGTGAGAGTCTCCAGTTCCTGTTCGATGGTCTTTTTATCCTTCTCGACAATGGCGCGCTGAGCCTTCTCCTCCGCGAGAGCGGCCTTCAACTGCGAGATCTCACGATCCGCATCGGCCTTCTTGATAAGAATCGCCTGCTCAATATCATGTCGGTACTTCTCGTTTTCCGACTCCAATGATTTGATCCGATTCTGGGCCTGTTCCAATTCCTGTCGGGTGGCAACCAGGTTGTCGTCGAGTGTAGTCTGATTATTGATCGCCTGTATCAATTTCACACTCAAAGCAGCAACCTCACTGCTCAAATCCGGATGATGGGATGGCGTCGAGGATGTGTCGGATGCCTCGGAGTTGGTCGCGAGCCTTGGGTCCCTCAAAGTGCTGAAACCACTATCAGGGAAATTTCCAGCACTATGGGAACGACCTGCAAGAGAAGGCTTCTCGGTGACAATCGCTGCGAGATCATTTGTGGACTTGGTCTTGGTCACTGTTCTATCAGGAGAAAGTGTCCTGTGGCCGGAGGAGAGGGATCGCTTGTGATTGCTGGAACGGGGAATCATATTGGAAGGTGAAAGGAAGCTATGCTTTAAATGATAGGTTTGGAATGCAATTAAACTGCTCATGAAGTCAGTAACTTCACCAGTCATCATACCCAATGGCATATGCAATAATGGGTACATACTCAGCCATGGCGGACTGGAAAGAGCGGAACGAATTCAGAGAACCGGAGAGGCGCGGTGACCCAGTTCGGGTGTCACGACCATGTATATAGGTGATACACCTCGCCCATTCAGAATTTCCAGAAGTGAATGGCTGTTCAAATAATGTCCAGACCGAACGCGCAGAATATGTAATGACTAGCAAGTCGAGATACGAGGCATCTAGAGATCGAACTGGCGTCGAGGGTGGAAACGGGAGAAGAGGTTGGACACAGCGGAGACGATGGACAGAGTGAGAGTGCACAGAGTCAGAAGAATTAGAATGAAGGGAGGGTGATATATTGGAAGCAGTAAATAATTAGTTGAAGGGAGTGGTAGTCGGAGTAACCCCTCTTTTCTGAGGAGAGGAAGCGGTTGGCACTTGGGAGGCGTTTTGAAGGAGCAGGCGATAACGGACTTCACTTCGGGGCTCCGTTAAGAACTGCTAGGAGGAGTCTTGGCCTTGTCCTTCAGGCCCAAGCGACTGGACACTTGACAGGTGAGCACTGACAGGTGTGGCTGGTATTGGCCTGAGGCAAACGAGATCGACTCGCTGAGTCATTAACGCTTTTCCATAATAGGAAAGCCGATCTTGTTGCACCTACGGAGTTATGTCGTTCGGCTCGGATTCTCCATCAAGATACAAGACTCAAGACTCAGGTCCCTTCCATGGCTGGCGCTTAACGACATCATTCGCTAAAACTATTTTGTACCTCTGGTTACCTACTACATAACGTTGTGGATCTCTGAGATGAGAATTGGTCTTCTTTCTAGAGAGGTACCATATCAATGTTTTATTCTAGCCTTCATCTATTCATTACCCATTAAAAGTAGAGTACTTTCCTTGGAGCTCCACTAGTCAATGTCATCGGGAACAATCGTCATGCAAGTCTGATACAGTCTCCTTTTCTACCGAGTAGATTAAATGAATCTGCCGAACAAGGTCTATCCATTGGAATGCGATCGCTATCATATTTGATGAGGACTTGTAAAGTGTTCAATTGGCAACCGATGACGACAGTACTCCCTACATATCACGTCGACAGGAAGAGAAGAGTGGATCGCTAACCCGCTTTCGATGTCTGAGACATGCCAGATATCCTTGACATCCATTGTAGCCTGAGATAAGTATAGATAGACCGACAAGTTTCAACTGTCGCAGTTACCTATAGTTGCTCAACTAGGCGAAAAGAGTAGACAATACGGAATGCAACATAGAGGTGTACCTAGGTACATAGTACCTGAAGGTCGTTATCGAGCCCGAGATACTGCAAATCATAAACTAAGGTACGGATCTTGCTACGTACTAGTGGGAATGTTGATTCCTCATGGCGCCCCACCCCCCATTATGGTGGCCTCAGGCGACGAAGTGGGGTTCCAAAACTTCAGTACTCCATTTGAAGGATTGGAGATTCCAGCACCAATATTAGCCTCTATTCTCTTCGAAACAACCTCAGCTCCCTGGATTTCCTTCTCAAGCAGAGGGGAATCTTTTTGCAACACAAAAGAACCCTCGATATTGACCCCTTGTCTCACGAAAATAAATCATCATGGCTGACGCGGAGTTGGAAGAGGTTGGTACAGCAGCCTTGGGACGTTTTTGAACGTGCCCAATCTGGTATTTCTGGCCAGGTATTTAATGTAATCTACAGATCAGACGGGCCCGTCTCGCACAACTGCAGCAACAACAAGGTGGCTCTCGAGGAGCTGGTGGGGATACTCAGGATGAACAAAGAAGGTGGGCCTTGCCAGTCAATCACTTGTCCGGCCCATGTAGCCTTCTTTATTTCAGTCGGCAAATGCACACTTGATCGCTAACTCTGCTACCTGTAGACAAGCTGAAGGTATGCTATGATGACCTCGCGAAATACCGGACCATTTTTCCAGCAACATACTGAACTGACTCGCCAGCTGAACGTCGCTCCGCCATCCTGAACCAAATCCTTGAGCCCGAAGCTGCCGATCGACTAGGACGGATCCGTCTTGTTAAAGAATCGCGCGCCATCGATGTCGAAAACAGGCTCATCATGCTCGCCCAGACAGGACAAATTCGCCAGAAGGTCTCCGAAGAACAACTCAAAGAATTGTTGAACGCCATTGCGGAAAATCAACGGAAGGACGAGGAGGAACAGAAGATCGTCATCTCCCGGCGTAAAGGCGGCTGGGATGACGACGATGATCTGCTGGATTTATAAACGTGTCTCTCTGAGAAGAGAACAAGATTCTTTGGCGAAAATGTGCTTTGCATGATAGTGGCCTCTTGCGGATAACGCCCATTCCGATACCTCTATATCCTCCGATTCTGGGAAAACTTCAAAGGCGTTACACCTGGTATGGGCTAATTCATGATTAAACTGTTGGCTCACATTTCTCTAAATGCTTCTTGATGCAAGCTAACATAGCGGAAGCATACAAGCTATGTATTCTACAAGTTGGAGCAATTTCCTGTTTTGGGAGTCTTTGAACCCAGCTTGAACTAAGCATGTCAGTCGCTAATGAGTGGTGTTAATTTATGATTCACGATTTACGAAGACGGATACGCGACTGTCAGGTTATTTGACAGAGAATTCAGGCAACGGAGACATCCACAGGCAGAGAAGAGCTGTCCCTAGCTTTAGCTCTTTGTTCAGTCGATGTTGGCTCTAGTTGCCTGATGTAGTTTGTGGCATTGAACCAAATGTCCCTTTCGTGAAATAACCATCATCTCTGGGAATTTTTCCTGCCTCTCTTTTCGACACCTTCACTGCTTCCTTTTGATAATACGGAAGTCAGAATCTCTGAAATCCCCTGGAGAACGAGCTCTATTGATCAGTCACGATTTTCCTTCGAGCCTCTCCTTCTCCCGCTTTTGCTGTTGCCGCATCAATTTCCGGATTTCTCGTAGATCCGGGGGTCTTTCAATTCCCAGCTCTTTCCGAAGCTCGTCAACATCCTTTTCCAAGATCTCCTCCCAGTATACATTGATCAGTTCTTTACTGGCAAGCCCACTGCGAACCGCCCATGGTAGATGTAGCGAGAAGAATCGTTCCCGCTCTGCTGGCTTCAACCGCACGAAGGCAAATATGCTCAGCCCCGTCATGGGAATAAGAGTATTCAGAAATTCAAACGCCTTGAGCGCCAATTCTCCCTCGACAAAAATAGGGAGTCCAGTCACCGCATGGTAGAAGTCGTGACACTCCCGATACCGTTGCATGACATATGCGCATTCCTCGTCATCAATGTACTTGACACTATCGCGCGTGTCGGGAGAGACCCCTTCCCGATCAAGCCATGTAGCATAGGTACGTCCCACTGAGTTTTCGGGCAAGGTGCGGAGGTAAGGCAGTTTCAGAGTTTCGGAGGTGATGCGGGGCCGGTCACGAAGGATACGTCGACCCGTGGGATCAGATAGCATTGCATCTCGGAGTCTATATATAAAGTAGGGAGTAGCAGTGGCTTCGCCCAATGCCGCAATGAGATCTGAATAAGGATGCTGCGTTAGCCTCTCGCGGCATTATAAGTAAATCGTTGGTTGATAATTCTCATAGGCGAGCAAAATCCCTTACCCGCTCTTCGAGGGTTCATAAGCGACCCTACTGCAGAACCAACGGCCAGGGCACCGCGTTCAAGAAAGGTTAAAGGAACATGACCGGGATACTTAGGCGGAGGGCGGTTCAAGGCGGAGAAGGACCGAACAAGGTAAATTGCAGTTGCTGATGGTGCTAGAGTGGTCCCTCGAGCAGCAAGTCCTGCCCCACGCCTCCCGAGGACAGACATATTGTGAGTTGGAGAGGGTTCGATGTCGTTGTTGACATGACCCCGTTCTAAATCGAAACCAAAGATGGTCTGATGGTCCGGGAACTTATGATGTTGCGGAACAGCTCCGGCTGGCACTATTAGTCGCCTTGGGACGCCGTAGCCCCGATAAGCGTTCGATAAGAGGTTATCGGCATAATTTATCTTGCAGTTTTATCATGGTTTGATCATTTGTTCTCGCTCATCTACGAATCCAGATGCCATGATGAGATATTATGATGCACGGGTATTCTTATGATTTGAATCTTGTGTCCGGATATCTGATCATGTATTAAAGTCATCGGTTGATAGGACAGGATTGCAGCAAACCCAAGCCAAACCCCGATCTTTCCCTCTTCGACGCTATTGCATGCAATTGAGTCCTGGAGAGCGTCCGGGGTCAACCTGCAAAGATGATGCCAGACTGGTGGCCTGGAGAAATCCATGACCGGTTCACAGAATGGGCCATCTCTCAAGGAGTCATTGTGAATGGAGTTGCTCCTGCGCGCTTCCCCGGCCGTGGTTTAGGAATGATATCTACAAGAGCTATTGAAGTATGTCATGATCAAATGTTACTTGACAATTGTACTCACTTATAATGGATAAAGAAAGAAGAAGTCATTCTGACGGTTCCACTAAAAGCAATGTTGACGACGAGACGCATTCCCGTGTCTTTCAAGCGAAAATTCCCAAAGGACATTTCCGTCCATGCGCTACTTGCTGCTTTCCTGACCCTCGGGGACAAAGAGGATCTCCAGAAGTATGAGCTCTGGCGACAAACTTGGCCGACCCGTCAGGACTTCGAAGACAACATGCCCCTTCTATGGCCACAGTCGTTACGACGACCCAATCCGTACTATGATGACAGCGCTAGTCAAATAAATCTACTTCCGCGATCGATATCCGGCGCATGGAGCACCTTACGGAAGCGCAAAAATGAGCACGAGTATGAGACATCTCACCAGAACCTCCTTGCTCAGCAGGAACAGAGATTACATAAAGCCTGGAGCAGCGTCGTCTCTGTTTTTCCAGATGTAGACCGGGAGACTTACACATACAACTGGCTCATTGTCAACACAAGAAGTTTCTACTATTTGATGCCCGGTCAAAAGCCGCCAGAAGACCGAAATGACGCCATGGCGTTGCTGCCTTTCGCTGATTATTTTAATCACTCGGATGTGGAGGTTTGTCTTGTCGTTCCTAACCTGCTTCAGGCACAATCATACTTTCCGGTGTTTTGTCTCCCGTTCTGATCATTGAAATTATGCCCATTTAACAGGATGACGTGAAGTTTGACGGCCAAAGATATGTCTTCAGGGCGACCAGGCACTATGGTATTAATGCCTCTCAACTCGGCGAACTCTGCTAACAGTGTATAGACTCCGGAGAGGAAATTTATATGAGCTATGGGCCTCATCCAAATGATTTCCTACTTGTTGAATGTGAGATAAATCAACACCTTTCATCGTGTGCATGCCACCTCTAATCTCAATCAGATGGGTTCTACCTCGACGAGAATGGTTCTGACGCGATATACCTTGATGATATCATTTTCCGAGACCTCGGTGCCTCCCTTCAGGAAGAGCTGTATTTGCAGCAATATTACGGGTACGTCGAATCCCAAGTGATCTAGAATGTCGTAGATTTCATTCTCTAGCTTGGTGTCAAGCTTTGCAGACATAAAATGCTTATGATTGTTAATTTCCAGCAATTACGAGGTTACCGCCACAGGTGCCTGCTATCGAACCGAGATTGCTGCTTGTCTGAAATACATGACAAGAAGAGATTGGCGGAACTACGCCCTTGGTTATTCGACAAAGGGCTGCGACGCTCAGAAATCTAATGCAATCATCCAAGAATGGATTCTCGCATATGCAAAGGAAGCAGACACGACAATCGCCGCTCTGGAAGCTCTTGGTTCCAAAGAAATGGATCAGAAATACACTGGGAAAGTGAGCACGCTGGTCAGGCGTTGGAAGCAGATAAAAGGCCTCTGCGACAAAGCCTCGGAAGCCGTATCCTGCTGAGGAAGCGAGGTGTTGCCAGTGGCGGCTGACCTCCCGCGCGCAGGAGGACTAGATTCGGAATCTAGTGCTAAGAGCTCTTCATAATTTAGAGCCATCCAAAACGTCGATTGGGATAGCCCCGGACACTCTTTGCTTCACCATTTGCTGTTTGGCGAGCACCAAATGCTTGATCATATAATTAACCGCACATTTGATACCAAGCTCCTCCCCCCTGCGCACTATATAGCCGTTTATATACTCGATTTCCGTGGTTTTTCCGGACCGCACATCAGCCAGCATGGAGCTGGTGTTCTTGGCAGTCTGGTTCGCGAGCTTCGTCACCATCGATCGAAGCCGCTCTGGTGCAAAGCGGTTCTCAATGCCGGGAATACCTTGCAATTCAGGCAAGGCGCAAATGACACTCGAGATCTCGATGAGGAGCATTCGCATCACACGGGTGAAGCTATAGTTGTAGAGAATCTCGCCATTCTCACAGTCCATCAGGGCTGTAAGCGGATTTATGACAGCATTCAATGCCAGTTTTTCCAGTTGATACAGTAGAAGGGACGAAGGAGTTTCGGCGACAGCCACGAGCGGTGGCGTAAGGGTTAAAGTGCGTGTCAGATATTTCGTGCTCGGTGCCCATTCCATATCCTTTTCATCCTTCGACGACAAGGCATCACGCGACAAGACAGGACTAATTATAGTAGTACCGATACCTGTATGGGTAACATGGAAGGCGTCCCTTTTCCGTGCCAAGCCATGCGAAATGATGCCACACATGTAATGTGGACGTTGATGCGGGTCAGGAAAAACCTTCTCGTTGATCTCCTCGATAGTGCCCATCCCATTCTGAAGAAGAAGTACAGTGGAGTCAGCGGTTAAGCGATGACTGACTGATTCCAGGGCTCTCGCAGTCATGGGTGCCTTGACCGCAACTATCAAGCATTCGATATGCTCATCATCCTCCTCCGACTGGGAAAGTGACTCTTCCACGCCGGCTTCCAAATTTTCTTCCGTGACGCTGTCACCATTTGTATTGGGCTCGCCATTCCGATTCCAATACGGTAGCGAATACCAAGTCCGGTCACTCAATACATTGACATCAAAGCCCGTCTTAATATCATCGAGGCCGTTTGTATTGACCGCTAAGCACTTTTTCTTTGCTAACCAAGCCCCATAAAGATTCCTACTATGTAGCAAGAGGGTAATAGGAGGCGGAGATGGCCGACTTGCAAGCGAATGCGCAACAAAAGTCCCTACATTCCCAAGTCCCAAGATGTGTATTCGGCCCGAGAGCTTGCGCCTCCCGCTCTCACGGGATGCTTCATCAGCTTCATGCATCCATGTTGATAAAAATCGACGGACTGGCGCTCCTCGAGGGTAGAGCCGTGTAAAGATCACTACTTCACAAAGGCCAGTCCGCAAGAGCGGACGGCGCCCGAAAACGTTCAGCGACACTTTGACGAATGGGTGGCCCTGCAAGCGAGTTCGGTTGCTATGTCTCAGACGGAGGAAGGGTGAATTAAGAGAGTTTCACCTCTTGCTCATGCTTCTCCCATTGATTATGATTGCTGACGCATCTCAGCTTCAGTAGCTTTGAGAGGACTTCTGAGCTAATAATAAAGCGATAGTAGGAGCATGAACATAACGATGACGGTCAAAAAGTAAAGAATGAGGCAATCTGGTTGTCACCGCCAGATTCACCGCCTTTAGATAAAAATCGCCGTTATCCATTGAGATTACCAAAAATTCCTAATCTTGCATTTGCAACTGTGTCTCACAAGATGGAGGCCGCCGACCTATTACCGCTTCTTGAGCAATTGGATGATAATGTTGACGATTTGGAAGAGGTCCTCAAGCCAATTCTGGAGAGCCCAGTCTCCGAGACATCCAAAAAACTCCCCGTTCTAGACAAGGCGAAATTTCACGTCTTGGTTACCTACGCTTTGGAATCTCTCATTTTTTGTATGGCTCTCTGGCTCAGTTGCTACCTTTCCAGACTTGCTAATGGGGTGATAGCTTATCTGCGTCTTCATGGCGTCAATGCAAAGGAACATCCTGTCTTCCGAGAGCTCACCCGCGTCAAGCAATACTTCGGGAAAATTCAGGCGCTAGAGGCTGAGCCCGAACAGCGAACCATGACTCTTGACAAAGAGGCAGCTGGTCGCTTTATCAAACACGGCCTTGTATGTCAGATCTTGTTTTCTTTTTCTTCTGTCAGGACCTTGACGTTGGCCAGGTACTAACTTCGTGTAGGCCGGAAATGATAAACTAGATATGCAACGCAAAGAACAGGAGGCGAAAGAGAAAGCGCGCGCTCAACTAAAAGCAGCATTACTAGCTAAGAAAGCCACGGCATCTGAGACATCTTCCAAGAATCGTACGAGTAGCTCGGACTCGGAGTCAGAACCTGGTAACGAGGAGCCGGACAGCGAGGAAGCTATGACTGCAGAGTCGGGGCAGATGACAAGGCCCTCGGAAATAACACAATCCGAAAACTCTCCGGAGGGAAAGAAGAAGAAAGACAAAAACAAGCATGAGACTTCGAAGGCCACCCGGAAAAGGAAGAAGCGAAGCAAGGAGGAGGAGCAAGAACGGAAGAAGGAAAGACGGCAGAAGAAAATGGAAGTTCGGAAGGCAGCAAAGGCAAAGTGAGAAGAGGTGGGATGATGACTACAATCGCAACATGACTCCTTTCATCTCGGTCGGCTGGCCCGACTTCAGTGCCCATATCGGGTCGCAGCAGTTGCATCATTAGCGGAGCTTAGGCTATCAGTCACTTCAAATTGCCCTGCTAATTAGTCTCATCGCCTCCTCATTGGCATGTTGGCTTCAAGAGGTGCTGTGTATGGCCATGCGCGCTCTTGCGGTTCCACGGAATTCCAACATGCCTGCTAAGGACGAGCAATGCTATATGCGAAGAGCATAAGCACTCTAGCTCTCCCACTGAAGACTTCCAGGCACAATTGCATCACCTATGCCATGAATCTGAATTAGGTACTATCCGAATAGACCATTATATTCTACGCATCTGTACCTCTCGTATTACCTGTTTTGCCATACAATACGTAACGTTACCTTACGGCAGAATTGGCACGTGATGCTCCTTTTTGCCTTTAAAATACGTATTACATAAACCAGGGACACAGCCAATCAGTAATTGGGACTGTGGCAGCTGGATCGGAGTTTGGTTCTCTCTCTCCGCCGACGCATATTCGAGGTTCTTCTTTTCCGCCGCCTCCATCAACAACATATAAAAGCCAACAACTCATCAACCTCCCTGCCCCAGAACCGATTTTCATCAAACTACACCTTACCTTTTCGGCTTCTCAACACAAATACACAGCCAAAATGCCTCGTCAACGCCGTGGTGCCGCCCCTGCGCCTACCCCTGCCCGCAGCGCTCCCACCAGACCTACCGTCGCTCCCGCAAGACCGGCTGCTGCCCCCGCTGCTCAGCACCACCAGCCTCACTCGACTGCTGCTCACCCTCCTGCCCAGGCTCAGCAAGCCCCTCCTCCTATGGCCCCTGTTCAGCAGAGCTCTGGCCCCGGACTCTTCGGCCAGATGGCTTCGACCGCGGCGTAAGTTGCCCGGACATCCGTGAGATCCTCGGCTGTGATTCATTCTGGTGGCAACGTCCCGACGAGACCTCCCGGGGACTTGCATCGCCAGTTTCTACGCCGAGGAATCGTTTTCTTGCATAGAAAGACGTTGACTGACTGATTACTTCTTCTAGTGGTGTTGCAGTTGGTTCCTCTATCGGACACGCCATCGGCGGTCTGTTCAGCGGTGGCTCCTCCAGCAGTGCCCCTGCTGAGGCTCAACAGGCTCCTCCCGCTCAGGCTCAGCCTATGGACAACGGACTATGGCAGAGCAGTGCCACCAACAGCTCTTGGGAGACTCCTGCTTGCGAGACCGATGTGCGCAACTTCCGCAAGTGCCTGGATGAGAACCAGGGCAACATGACTATTTGCGGATGGTACCTTGACCAGCTGGTATGTTGAGATTCTCTCGTTGCCTGTGTGTATTGAACGCTGCTAACAACTCGATACAGAAAGCCTGCCAGGCTGCAGCTAAGCAGTACTAAGCGACTGCGCCTGTTCTCGCATGCTGTTACATTTTCTTTAGATGAAATGACATCAACTTTGGGTGAAACTACGGCCCTGGCACAAGCCTGGCTAGCTTTGGGATGGGTGTCGACGAATTCTATTTGCATGGCGGCGTAATACCTTTACTCTACTGTATACCATTCTCCCAAGGGAGCCACATCTGTTTCATACAAACTTCTTACCGGCGTCTATTCGGGCCGAAGACGCAGGAGGAAGACAGAAAAAAAAAGTTGAAAAACAGGAAACCAATGAGCAATGAAATTCCACTCTTCAAATAGATACCACTTTTTCCACCATAAATCAGTAGCATCACAGCGCAATGTACAACGGGTCCTGGAAGCGTAGGTTTGATTGTACTAATACAGAACCCTGGGTATAATGGGAAGTGAGTCTCCTGGAGGAGAGTAGATATCGATCCGGTGGCTCAACGGATTTTAAATCTCAAAAGCAAGTCAAACACAGGCATCTACGTAGTGCCCTTGTTGGATACAAGATCGGAATACCAGTGGAATAACCGTGACGCCATATATAGGAACTGAATCATTCCAATTTATTGCTCATCTGTATCTCTCCGAGGCTCAAAATTCAGCTGGAGACAAGTAAGCCGACATGTCAATTCGTAGTCTCATATTCCAACGGGTGCCGACTTACCTGATTCCCGTTGTACAGTTGACTGTCGTTCTGCTCTTCGCGTTGATCTCTCAATGTCCGAATCCTAGGACCTCTGGACGCAGCAGGCTGTGGACTGCGCGCTCCGTTTCCAGAAGACGAACTGGCGGTTGGAGCAGACCCGGAAGAGTCTGAAGAAGTCGGGTTGTAGCCGATGAAAGATCCTACTAGGCCCGTCGCAGTACCAACTGCCGAGGAGAGCAAGCCGTACGCGGAATATGCAGCTCGCACGGGCAAGCTAGACCCTGGCGAATTATATGCCTCGGTATACGAGTTGATGGGGATCATCACAAGGTTCGCCGTGGATCCTAGTCCAAGATCTTCAAGAGTACGTTCTTCGTCGGCGATAGTGAGCGTTCGGCTGGGCAAGGGTGTCAAGATATGCTTAAGATTATACGGGCGTTTCTCATCCTGCAGTAGACCGTCAAGCCACGGACGTACATCCCCCCGAATAGTCTGTGTTGGCGCAAAGCTGTTTCGCACTGAACTTCCGTCGAACAAGCGGACTTGTAAACGATACTGCTTGGGAGGTGATGGTTGGAGCGGTGTCGGCGCTTCTCTTGAAGGACCAACACGCGATCCAGGATCGGCGGCGGAAGGCGATGATGTGTCCTTTCTAGGCTCGCCAACACTTTGCTTCTGGATATTAGCGACGTATTGCCGAACTTGTTGCTCTCTCTTCGACTGTTGGGTCTTCCGCGTATATTGTGGCGCACGATCAGAACCAGCTGCCTTCGTAGGCGCCTCTTGGGTTTGTTCAGGGCTTGGATCATGCTCTTGCTGGTGATTCTTCGGTTGTCGTGTCCCGGAAGCATCTGGCCGGCCCTTCTCTGGGTCTGAGAGCGCAGATGTAGTTGTGGGCGTCGGTTCAGCTGTGGCTGTTGGTGCAGGAGCGGGAGCAGGACCAGGCGCAGGCACAGGCGAAGAGGACAACGCCGCAGAGGGACTCGAAGTATCTTGAGGAGCATTCTGCGTCGTAGAGTGAGTGTCATCAAGAGCAGCCCTTAGCCGACTGCGAAAGTCGTCCTTGGATATTTCAGGCACAAGGTATTCTCGCAACATGCCATTCCTGCAACCCATCCAGATCAGTGAACTTGTTCGCAACCAACGGACCGGTAGAGGTCAGTCGTACTTGATCACAACAACTGCGGGAAACTGCACAATTGGACAAAACGACGTCAAGAATCCGGCTTCATCGCTGCCTTTCGTGAGTCGAAGCAAAACAGATCTCGTCTCGAGTAATCGTGCAAATTGCTAGGTAGATGGCATCTCTGTAAGAAGCCATACAACAGCGATCGCCATCATCGAAGGATTTACCTCGTCATCCTTGAAGTATTCATCCTCCCATACACTACTAGCCTCCTCGTCATCTATACTCATCCCAGTCAATCAGCGTGCGACTCCGAGCGATAGTAGCATCATATGTAATGCAGATGCGATCATAACGGCCGTGCGGGGAATGACAGACAGACCTCGAACGAAGCAGACCACAGCTTTCGCCTCCGTGACAGCAAGGGATATTCCTGCCTGAAGACCTCCAGAGTAGAACATGACGGCTCTGAGTTCTCTTTTCTCGGGAACCGAGTATGGTTGTTTATTTGTTCGCAAGCGAGCCAAACCACGCAATACGGCCAGGCCAGCACAACTACTCGGGGAAAGTCGTTGATCTCCGCCGATCACGGGTTCCTCTCCAACAGCCTACTAAAGGGTCCGTCCCGCATTTTCTCCTCATTTATCTATTCTTCAAGCAAAGCACCAAGGTCGACTGCGGAGGCCGCAATTGGATCAATCATGCGGTCGATATTCTCCGTTCTCCGGCAGACGGCAGCTACATCGTGGCGCTCACAATTTGCATCTGTTCGGAGTTCTCGCGCAGTGTTCGAGCTTGATTCGATTTGCGCCAGATGCCGCCGCCAACAGATTCGTTTCTCGAGCAATCGGCAACTTGCGGATGATCCCAGATGGCTATCTGTAGTTGACCACCCTGCGCAGATCGTACGCACGGGACGCAAGCATGGGCCTGGCCTGATCATCCTAGGTACGGTGCATCTCATACGACGCGGGATGTTTCTGGGAGCATCCTCTGTGAATGAAAGTTTATTGACTAATTACAATTGACTTGCTATAGCATTGATCCCTATCACAGCATTCATCCTAGGCACCTGGCAGGTTCAGCGGCTCGATTGGAAGACAAAGTTGATTGCAAAATTCGAGGATCGTCTCGTGAAGCCTCCCCTCCCGTTGCCACCCCGTATTGATCCAACCGCCATCTCCGAGTTTGATTACCGACGAGTCTATGCTACGGGTCATTTTAGACATGATCAGGAGATGTTGATCGGTCCCCGCATGCGCGAAGGCCAGGAAGGCTTCCTTGTGGTCACTCCACTCGAAAGAGGCGAAGGGGAAAGCACAATCCTTGTGAACAGAGGCTGGATTTCGAAGAAGATGATGAACAAGAAAGACAGAGCCATCGGGTTACCACAGGGCGAGGTAGTCGTTGAGGGCTTACTGCGAGAGCCGTGGAAAAAGAACATGTTTACTCCAGAGAACAAGCCGGAGGAGGGGAAATTCTACTTTCCCGATGTCCATCAAATGGCTGAATTGACAGGAAGTCAGCCGGTTTGGATTGAACAGACTATGGGTAAGCAAATCCCTAGCTTTCCAAGCGGAAGTTCTCGACACGACTGACTGAATCCTCCAGTGCCGGATATGGTCGAATCGATGGACAGAGAAGCAAAGGGTATTCCCATCGGCCGCGCAGCTGAAGTCAACCTGAGAAACAACCATAGCCAGTACATTTTCACATGGTAAGTTTTCATGCGCGCATGTTTTTGCACTCGAGCGTAGCCTCTTTCCGCTCCCGACTCTAGTTGCTAATATTCAGCAGGTACGGTCTGTCGCTGGCAACATCAATCATGTTGTGGATGGTCATTCGCAAAAGGCCAAATGAGGTCACTCGTCGTGTCGTCCAGAATCGGAACTGGTCGTAAATTTCTTGACGTGTCATCCTCATGTGCATTGTCTGACGGCGTTCGGCTCTGTTCTATTTTAGATCCTGTAGTATATATCCCTGTTCACGGTGGCATTGCCAATCTCATGTCCTGCAGGAGCTCTTTTGGCAAATGCTTCTGCGCAAGAGAGAAAACGGTGGTGGCATTGTTGATGTGCCGTTGTCTAGCAGATCAGCATCCTCCTGGTGCCATAATCAAGACAATCTCACTCACCTTCTCAACAAAGTCGTAACGTCAGTTTCATCAATAGTCTTTCGCCCTGCATGCTTAGAGTATGCTGCCAAGTCTTCGCTGACTTGCTCAAAATACCACGCCGATGCTTGCTCTATAGCAGCCAAAGTTGCCTTGCTTATCTTGGCCTTGGATCCGGCTCTTGCACGGGCAAACCTAGTAGCTAGTTTTCGAACCACTCCCACTGGCATATTGGGCACAGGAATTCCATGGCGCGAGAGTTTCTTCTGCTTGGCACCTGGGAGCACGCTATCTTCGTCTCGCAATCCTCCTCCAACGGGCCTTGGACTCTCGCTCAGGGAAACTCGTGACGGCATATTGAGCTCCAGACCGAAGTCGCCAGCGACACCGCCAACGTCGCCATCGCTCATGTCTGATTCTGGACCTATCTCTGGCTCGAGATCAACCGGAGGGAGCTCGAAACCTTCGTCGTCATTCAAAGGTTCGTCCTGCATCAGATCACCCTCACCAGGAGGAGGTGGAGATGGGAAGTTGAATTCAAAGTTGAATCGCCCAAGATCCTCCGTTTCGCCTCTGTACCAAAATTAGCTGGGTCGAGATAGACGATAAATGCGCCTTCAACACTCACCCTCTGTCAAAAGCCCCCTGGCTGATCATTGTATCGTCCGGTCCATCTCCTTCAATGCCCGTATCATCGTCCTCGCCGCCTTCAGAGCCGCTCCCCAACCTGGTTGAGTCGCCGAAGTTCTCGCTTAGTCGTGGATTACCGTAACTCATCATAGATAGTCTTGCTCTGTCATATTCGCTAGTCGCTCTTCGTGGGTACTCGACGGATGTATGTGTGATGTCTTCCTCATCGAAAGCTAACGACAGCCTAGGTGGACGCATTTCTGGGCTTCCTTCATCAACCTCCTCCACCTCCTCCAGGGGTAGAGAAAGTCTCGGCCGTTCCAATTCCGGTTCATTGTCGAGTTCCTCGATCTCATCTTTCTCCTTTTCTGGTTCTGGTGTCGGCTCCAGTTTCTCCTGCGGTGATGAGCGTATCGGCTGAGAAGTAGGGGCAAGAGCTGGTTGAAAGTCAGTCAGGAGCTTGTAAATCTATTTAATATGTCAATCGTAACTATGTGCGCGCGTACCCTTTCCAAGATTCCGTAGGATGTCAAATGTTGTCTCTCTCTGTATCCGCCCGCTCTTTCTGCGATCGCGTCCGGGTGTATTGGCCGCGCGCCGCTGCATCGCGCGAAGTCCATAGGGCGTCGACGGGGCATTCGTAAGTCTCCTTCCAGGTGTCCATCGAGAGACCGATGGATTGGCAGACGGGGTAGTCGACCCTGCTAGACGGCTCGGAGTGAGGGGATACCTCGTGTGAATTGGGAGTCGTTGAAGCTATCCATCAATTCGTTAGACCATACCGTCAAGTATCCTCAGGTTTGACTATGCACCGACGATTGACTAACCCTAGTGGCTGTTGTGTCTCCCGCCGGAGTATTAATGTTTGAATCTGAAGCTGCCGCATCGCGCGACGGCCGGCGGCCGTGCGGTCTGGGAGTCGTTGACATCTATAGCTGTCAGGGAAGCAAGATCTAATCGACAGATCATCTGCAGTTAGAGGTGTTGCACAATATTGATCCCAATCAATGGAAAGTTGAGAAATTCGAAGTGTATAAAGCAATCGATATCAAGTACACGACAGACGAGGGGTTTCATATGATGATCGGGTGGAGCGCGTCTTGGATCATCCACGACTGGAACTCTCGGCCAGGTTCTGATTGGCTTACGCTTATCGATAAGAACCGCTGACTCAGCATAAAAAAGTTGTGGCCAGCAGGAAGCACCTGTATGCGACAAGGAAGAGTCCAGGACAATCGCTCAATCTTGCCATTGAAATTCTTTCGAGAGTTGCAAATATACGAGATCAGTTTTTGCCCTTGCAATGTCTGATGTCCCACCGAATCCGTCCGGCCTCTCGGCCAAGGTGAACAAGAAGCGCAAGAGACAGGCGGAGGAAGCTCCCAAGGAAGATAAAGCTGCACCGGCCAAATCTACCAATAATAATACCTCGGAGGCAGCTGAGGGCCCTCAAAAGAAGAAGAAGAAGAATTCCAAAAACAAGCAGAAGCAACAAAAGAAGAAGGAGCAGGATGATGATCCCAAACAGCAGGAGCGAAAAGGCGCCATCGACGAGTCTATCGGCAAGATGGACGGCCGGTTGCTGGCTGATCACTTTGTCCAGAAGGCGAAGAGACATAATAAGGAGCTGACTGCGGTTGAATTGGGTGATCTGAGCGTTCCAGGTATGCTTATATCCGTATTGCTCGGTCTCGAGTGCAATCAGACTAACACTGCGATCTAGACTCGGCATTCCTCGACACATCCTCTTTCGAATCACCCAGATCGCTAGACCAGCTTCCTGCGTTTCTCAAAGCTTTCAGCCCCAACAAGGGCTCTGGACTTTCAAAGGCATCGGAGCAAAAGGGCACGCCGCATACGCTAGTGGTATGTCCCGCTGCGCTTAGAGCAGCTGATGTGGTGAGGTGGGTAGATCAGACGTATATCGCTGTCCTTGGATGGGACTGATTAGATGCAAACTAGGGCTCTCCGTACGTTCCAGAGCAAGGATTCGACAGTCGGCAAGTTGTTCGCAAAGCACATCAAGCTCGAGGAAGCAAAACAGTTCTTGCAGCGCGCACGGTATGCTCACTACGATCTTGTCCGTAACTGGCTGTTTGTCTGACAATTATACAGAACAGGCCTTGGAGTCGGGACCCCGGCCCGAATTTCAGACTTGATCGACGCTGGTACGTCTTGTTCCTCCTTTGGCCGCCGTCTGTACATCATGTTCGAACCAATGCTAATGGAAACAGGGAGCCTCAAATTGGACGAACTAGAGCGCATCGTGATTGACGGGTCCTACATTGACCAAAAACAGCGTGGCATCTTTGACATGAAGGAAACGCATCTCCCACTCCTCCAGTTGCTCACTCGCTCCGAGTTCCGTGAACGATATGGAGCAAAACAGAAGCGGATTCAGATTTTGGTATTTTAATTGAAGTATTTACTGTCTCTGGCATTGGCGTTGCTTACTGGGGCATCTGTGTATTTGAAAGATAGAAAGATATGCATACTTATATAATTTCGTGCCAGAAGTTCTATTCACATGTGTAGACTTGATGCATACTACAATGGACACACTTGGAACAACTGATTGCCTGAAACAGTAAGGCATGAACTCCAGTGGAGCCACAGCTCTCACCGCCATAAACAACCGCCCGGCAAAAAGGTAAATTTCCCTTTTCCGCTAAGCTTCTGGAGGCAGTAATTTTCCAGACTCAAAATTTCCACTTTTGTTTGGGCGTCGAGCTGTGTTTCTGGTTCTGAATTTCGATTCGGAATATCTTTCGCTTTATTGTTATTGCTCGCTTTCACAATCACTTCTCACAAAGAAAGGCCCTTTTCGCAGCTACTCCGAGCATATCACACTAAAAATGGGCGACAAGAAACGCAAGCTTGCCGAAGAAGCCATTGCGCCTGAGGGCAAGAAGCTGAAGCAGGAAAAGGCCAAGGGGGAGCGGAAGGAAAAGAAGGAGAAAAAGAGCAAAGCGAAGGATGTTGTTGAGGACGTAGAAACTGAGGACGTCGCAGCGCATGCCGACAGCAAGTCGGAGAAGGACAAGAAGGAAAAGAAGGATAAGAAAGAGAAGAAGGAAAAGAAAGAGAAGAAGGAGAAGAAGGAGAAGAAAAACAAGGATGAAGAAGAGGAGAAGCCAAGTCCCCAGACCGCAGGGGTTGATTCAATGGACGTCGATAGCGATGTAAAACCTACCGAGAAGCAAGAGGCTGAGGACGACGAGCTCGAAAAGAAGGACAAGAAGAGCAAGAAAGATAAGAAATCCAAGAAGGAGAAAAAGGAGAAAGAATCCGCAGACGAGACGCAAGAGCAGCCAGAACAATCTGCAGAGACAGCGCCTGCCGAAGATCACTCACAACACAACCAGAAAAACGCACGTTTCATCTGCTTCGTTGGTAAGTCAGACTTTGTTGTTATCAAGGGCGTATGGCACAGCCGCAGCATTACTAACTCGTTCGCACTTCTCTCCTCGCAGGAAATCTCCCTTACTCCGCAACTGCCGACTCCCTCAGAAAGCACTTTGAGAAGAACCCTCCGTCCTCAGTACGCGTAGCTACTGAGAAAGACAAACCGACCAAATGCCGCGGTTTCGGTTTCATCGAATTTGACAACTATGACCGCATGAAGACCTGCCTGAAACTCTACCATCATTCCATGTTCGATGATGGGAAATATCCCCCTCGGAGAATCAATGTCGAATTGACGTGAGTGAGCCAGATCTGCGCGTGCAAGCACGCAGGCTTGCAGCGCATGACCAGACGCATTGGGAGAATCTCGAAACTAACAATATCGCAGGGCCGGCGGCGGTGGTGGTAAATCTGAGCATCGTAAAGCTAAAATCGAAGCCAAGAACAAGAAGCTCAATGAGGAGAGACAACGTCAATCCAAGGATATCCAAAAGGAGAAGACAAAGACGAAAAAGACTCATTCTAAAGAGACCGAGGACCAGGGCGCCGATCAATGGGCTGGTATTCACCCCAGCCGAAGAGCCCGTATGGCGTAAAGCCCTCGACTCAGACGGAGTTTCAGCACCGGTGCTGCTCGACGACGAAAAGCCTTTCTTCAGTCTCCATTTCGCATTCCCTTCATATGTTCCATCAGAGATATCCTTCTTGTCCTCGTTATATGAGTGTGAATATTGGATGGATTGAGTTGGGTGGAAGTATATAGAATCTTCAATAACTGCACAATCCCTAAGGGAAATCTTGATAGGCTGCATACAGCTGTTTTCCAACACGCGCCATATCTATGTAGCAGTTAGGACCATGGAGGTTAAAATCGATTAAGCGACAACTTCCTGTTATGGCGTAGCATGTTACAAGTTTATGCTGCATGTGCACGAAAAGACAACAAGATGAGGAACGGGGTGTCCTGACCCAGAAAGAAGCTCATCAGGATCATGACATGTGACAGAAAAAGCGGGAAAAGAAATATGAACACAGTTGGAACAATCATCAAGGGGATCATTGCAAAACCTTCAATTATCCCAGACGCCGAATTAGTTGTTTATGATTAAATGATGAAAAAGCTGAAAATAAGGGTCTACAGAATGGTGCATTTCTTGCTCTTCGGTTTTGCGGCCGGTCGAGGGTTGAGGACAGCACTAGCGATGTGATTAGATCGGGAACGTCACGACCCTGGGGCCAATGCCAAACATACCGAATGGCTTCATCAAAGACGCTTTTGAGGTTGCGCTGCGTGAGGGCAGAACATTCGAGATACTTGTGCGCTCGGATCTCCTTGGCGACGGCCAGGGCTTGCTCGTACGAGACAGGCTCCATCTTTCTCTGTCGGAGGGATTCTGCCGTCGCGGGATCGTCTCTCAGATCGAGCTTGGTACCAACAAGAATGATGGGAACATTGGGAGCATGGTGCTCGATCTCTGGGTACCACTACTTGAACGGTTAGTCGAAGCGATTGCTAAGCTGCGAGCGCACAGCAGCTGACAGGGGGAGTTAAGCACCTTTGCCTTGACGTTGTCAAACGAGGGAGGGCTGACAATGGAGAAGCAGATGAGGAAGACGTCGGTTTGAGGGTAGGACAACGGTCTCAGTCGGTCATAATCTTCTTGTCCAGCAGTATCCCACAGTCCCAAGCTGATGGGTCTGCCATCTACCATCACACTGGCCGTATAGTTGTCAAATCTGGAGGTCGGGTCAACAACAGGCTCCGAATCAGAGCAGCGCAAGGGAGGAAGCCACGGACACGGTAGGGATGTATTCTCCGGGGAATGCGTTGGTGGTGTACGAGATGAGGAGGCATGTCTATCATATTCTAGGTTAGCTGGTGTCATTTATCAGGTAGAGCTAGCACCAGGCAATGTCTGATCGCCAGGGGAAAGGGAGAAGGAGAAAGGACTTACTTTTCCAACTGCACCATCACCAGTCACCACACACTGTACAGGTGCACCTATTAGCCGTGGTCTGGTCAACCGACTAACAATCCATGGGATATCTCGCGAGTTCTAACCTTTAATGACTGAGTAGCGGGTCCAGATGCCATGGTTTTGTTGTTAGAATTAAGGGTATATGCACAGAGAAGAAAATCGCAGTGAGGATACGATGATGAACAGCTCGTAAAGATGAAGCCAAATGATAGCGATCAATTAGCGTCGCGAAGTGAATTATGGGGGTTTTAGCGTCAAGTCAAGGCAGATGGGGCGATAATAATCTTAAGGGTATATCTGGAAAAGGAGAAGTCAAATGAGTCAGGACAATGCAATTGTATACGACAAAGAGCACATAAAGAGTTCTTGGAAAAAATGAGAGAGCAAACAAAGCTGAAGAGGGCAAAGGACAAAAAGAGGACAAAAAAGGGTCATTGAGCAGCGAAACAGGACGAGATCGAGGGGCGGAGGTCTTTGTGGTTGGGGGGAACACAAGAGAGGGGGGGCTAATCGGGACGAGCGAGGGTAGCTCGATTGCGGTCCGTGTAGAGGGTGAACCAGACTGGATAGCTCACCTTTTGGAGGTTAAGCAGTATGTCACTTTGTATACAGATCAAGGTACTTTTGGTCTACCAATATTATCTGCAGAGCGATGCAGAGAGCAGCGATAAAATAGTTGATTCTGAGGATGCTGCCGACGCCCAGTGTTTGATGGAAGCTCTAAGTCTCAAGCGATCTTTATACACTGTAGTATGCACCTATAATCCGGAGTCTATGAGCGGGAATGAGGCACGATGATAGAGACGTTCTGGCAGATCTTATGGAGAATGAAGGCAGATTGATGACGGCTGGTATTTGATTGATCATTGGTACACCCTTCTTCGACAGATTGATGATCAGGTTCGGGCTAACCAAGATCTTGCAAGTAAGTAGTTATCTACTAACTATCTGTGTCAGTGTCTGTATTGCAAGTCCCCAGCCCTCTCTTTGATGGTTTTGACTGGTTCTGTTAACTGCCTGAGGCGCTTGCGAGAGTCCCAGCAGAAGTAGTAATAGTCATCCTACTTGCTTAGTGGAGCAGAATGATCAATTCGATCATTGAGCACGGATATACTACGATGATCCTCAATTGCTTTTATAACGACAGTCCTGTAGTTCTCCTCGTCTGAGAGAAAATCTAAATGCAAGATACTTTCAGGCAACTGTACGTCTGTTTTGTTTAGGATCAAGGGGGGATTGACCCATACGAACCATGGAATATTGAAGGCAAGGTATGGAGTTATCCATCCTAATAGGGTGCCATTATTGCTCCCCGAAACCCATTTTTAGTCCAGACTCACTTTCCGTCCATCTGCTATAGGATTAAGCGAGACCAAGTTGATACTTGGTAGCGAACAACCTAGCTAGTATATTGTGGTCTAGCTGGATAGTACCTCAGTGCTTAGAGTATGGCGTTTCTGCCATGAATATCTCCTATGCGCCACGCACTGTAGACCACCTGGATGATATCGCATCTGAAAATACGTGCAGCAATCATCACCATTGGACGCCATGTCTCCTATTTTTTGACCGCCACCGAAGCCCTCTTAGCCAGTAGAAAACGAGAAACAAGTACTTAACCTCCCAACTACCCAGTCCATCTATCTAAATATACCTTGCTACTTCAAGGTTGCTAGGTTGCTATGAACATGGTGTGAGATTATCGCGTCTTGGCTGCATCGCATGAACATCACTAGTCTTGGTTAGTATCCAGCGCCGAACAGGACATCTGATCATTGTCTCATGCTTGATAGGGAGGACAATGTCCATCTGCTTAAAGTTAAGCCGTAGCGATCATCTGAGATGGATGTGCTTTGAGTTGTATCTTCCTATCACCATACAAGTAGCCATATGGCAGCACACAGGTCCGTATACTGGCTTCCTCATCAACGGGCGCGCTTATATATGGTCTGTGTGTTCACAGAGGAGACCTCATCCAGTAATCCGACCTCCCAGAGAGCGATCTCATATTCGCTTACATCACAAATAGTCTTCAAGGCATGCACTTCATTGAAGACTCCCTCGTAACCGTCGGTTCCAGTAAATGCAATGCGCACCGAAGCCTTGACAAAAGAACTGGGCGGTTCCCATACGGAAGAGTTCAGCAGACTTCCATGTTATGATAGGTGGGGCCGGGCAATCACTGTCCTGATTTACAGCCTCGGCAAGTGTGATCCGAGAGATCTTCCTTCCATGAACTCTCAATCGAGAATCGTATCACTTTTTTGCACTTCCTATATCCAATGGTATCATGCAAATATTCTATATACACAAGATGAAGTCGTAAATAGATATCTGTGAGCTCCGGCCAATTGGCCCTTGGTCGCCTGGACAGACAAGATCACTCGTGGTTCATGTGCAGTTGCTCATAGCGACGCATCGTAATGGCTACATCACCGGCGGTGCAACGAAAGAATCAGGAATCCCATCAAATACCCAGTTGAGGGAATCAAAAACTTCGGAGAACCCTGCTTCACTGATGAAGGCCCCTTGGTCGAAATTTGGCGGATAGATCAAACCGGATTCATCTAGGGTATCATCCTGCTGCCGGGTGACAGTGCCTGCGGCCGCCGATATGTTTGGGTTGGCAACGGTGACTGCGCAAAATCAGCTTTACATGATCATCCCAACGGCGAGAATACGAGATGGACATAAGAGTAAACACACCTTGTGAGTCCTCGATGCTCCGCATAGGCCTGAATCTCTGTCGCCAGCGCCAGACCGTGTCATAAACATGACTCATGCTCATTCTGCAACGGACTTTCAGCTCCAATATATTGTCGCCCGGAGAATGTGCCGCCTCGTTTGCATTCCACATCTGAGCCAAAATATCGGCCAGGCGAACAGGACGATCATGATCCATAACACTTATCCGTCGGATGGCCGAGATGGCTCCATTGAATAGTAATTTGCCGTGATCGAAGTCAATATGACGGCTGAAATCGCTCTTCAACAGTTTCATAAGGGCAAATGCAGCAGACACTATCATCTGAAGGATATAATTGGTGGCGTGGCCAATCAATTCTCCAGGAGATGTCTCCAAGTCCAAAACTCGCCCGAGAAATGATGTCGTAGCGATGAAAAGCTTTGTCAGATCTTCGCCTCGTGGATTAGAGCCAAGGAACACAAAGTATCTCAGATGTAACTCGGCGGCGCGCAGATGAATCATATTGATATCTGAAGAGGACAGCTTAGCGGCGGCTCAACGGCAACAATAGCAGTTCAGGTGTTCATACGTGATACGTCTCGACCAAAGTCAACCTCCATCTCCCGAAGTTCACTCTCCAGAAGCTGCACGATTAACAACTTCTCCGAACTGATGAATTCGGCTGGCTCAGGCTTTCCGCTATATAATGCCTTTGTCACGCGGTCACAGAACTTTTCGATCCGCAATCGGATTCGTAAGTCATCCGAAGGACTGTAATCGGCATCTCGAAGAGATGCTGGCTCAAGTGCCCAGTCATAGATGGTGCCAGACGGCTGTCCGTAGCCGGTTGCGACGCTGCAAAGGGGCATTTATCAGCATTCAAGACGCATGTCGTTGCTGTCAGGGATCGTCATTACTTACTTCTGAGCCACAATGTTACAGATAGCCCATGTCTGTAAACGATCCTTCACCGCTTCCCCTTGAGCTTCCATTCGGAAAGTCGTAAACTCTTCCGCCTGCACAGGCCGATGCAGGCCCAGCTGCATCGCAATCTGCATCATTAGTCCGCTAAGCATAAAGGTGGCATCGGTCCTTTGACTCGTCGTAGGCAGCGGCCATGTGCAAAGTAAGCATAAAGCCTTGACCACACGGTAGTCTTGAGGAACTCCCGTAAGGGTCGACCAAAGAAGCCTGCTGAAAGGCCCAGTGAGTGAACTCAGAAGACCCGGTTCGGATGGCGCTCGACGACTAGCGACGCAAATGATCGCCCAAGCTTGCAAGCGGTTGCGGCGCAGATATTCCTCAGGAGGCTTTTGAGGGTTTAGAAGGGGCAGAAATGGATGGTAATATGTGAAGTATCTAGCGGGTCGTTAACAGACGCCAGTCCCTCTTGAGCAGAGAAGGGGAAGTGGGCAAGTACTGGTCAAACAATCGTGCTACTCGTTGTCTGGAGAGGATGATATCCTCCAGCCTCCAAGGACTGTCATCCTGGGAGATGATGGAACTGTCTCTGGGTAAAGCCAAAGGAGTTGGCAGTGATTGCGGTTCCAAGGGGACAGAGAGAGGGCGACTGCGACTGGAAAGTGCGGAGTCCGGTCCACAGTACACATCCTCTGAACACTGCGACATTTCATCGCTGGCATTGGCATCCACCGTCTGAGGCCGTTCGCCATTGATAGCGAGCCGTCGACGGAGTTCTGCGATCTCCTTTTCCATTTCAGCGTTGCGTCTGCCAAAGATCGTCTGTCAGACAGGAAAAGGGTACTCGAGTACAGATCCGTATCGTAGAAGACTTACCTCCGCTTGGAGATTCGCTTGAATGTAGGCTCAACCTTGCATTCTATCTGAAGGCGCCGACAGCGCGAACATGCGGCTGCCGGCGTCTGAACAATATCACATCGAAGCTGTTGAAACCCAACATACCATGTTCAGCCAGCAGTCGAGGACAAAAAAAGAATGTCTTTTGATCATGTATATGGAGGTGGGCTATATCATTTTGGGCCATTCAACACCGCGAGCCCAGTAGCCAAGGACTGATTAGCTCACCTTTTGCTGTTTACACTCATTACAGGCCTTTCTACTACCACCCCGCCGCTTTCCTGTGATCTGCGGGGGAACCTTCTCCATCTCGCGAAGTTCCGAACTCCTGTTTGGGAAATCGAAGCCTGTCATCGGCCGGGGAAGCCTCGGCGTGTTCCGAAGGTCGCTGGTGGTGCCCTGGGGCGTTATCAAACTTGCTTGTGGAGGCAGCCCATTTGGTGCTATGACACCCCGGAACTCCAGATCCATCAGTATAAAGTAAGAAAAATTCGCCCAACGGTATTGTACCGCGGAGTCCCGTTAACACATGCAAAAAAGCGTGGTATTGACACAAGGAATGTGCTTAGGTGCCGGAAATCGGCAGAAAAACGGGGGGATCCCTTAAGCGCGAAACTCGGCGGTTCTGGAAACATTTGCTGACTCATTTTGGTGCCTGAGGCAATCATTTGGGGCCTTGTCCTACCTGTATGAAATGGAGGAAACTACAATCGTAGGGCGGATAGGCTTAGTCGAGAAGAATCATGGGTCATTGATACTCTGTATTTGAGCAAGGACGTTCTTCTATAGCCAGAATTCTTTCGGTCTCGCCCCAGCGTGGCTTGATCTGTACCCTGTAGTTACTTCAGTACCGTAGCGTGTCCCAAATACTACCTACTAGCAGGTAGCAAGGGAGGTCCGAAGACAAATTATCATTCTCATGAAGAATGATTAGCCCTCACCACCGTTCCAGTCTAAACAAATATCATGCCAAGTGCCATCCAGGACCGCATCTCGGAGACACTACAGCAACCCCCCGCCAATCCCCATGACGTATATACTAGTTGGTCTTGCATTCCAGTGACCCAACCCCTCTTAACTCTTAAGCTTTTTGAATGCTTCAATCATCAAGGTGCCTTACTTAGGTACCTAGCGTCTCCTTGACCTGTCGAATAAAGGATGTTCTGTAAGGTACCTCAGCGGTTGAAACCTAAGGTACCAAGCCTCCACTAAGGCAAGCCCTCCACCCCATCCCCACCGCCAGCCATACTGCCGCGCTCTGCCAACGAACCATCCGCATCAGCATATTATTATTAGTAGCATCCCGTACTCCGTACTCCCCACCATTTAGGCTTCCGCAATTTGACAAAGCGATCTCTGGTAGACTCTTGCCTATCCACCCATCTTCAGAAACACGACAACTGCGCTTGATTCATTGTTGCTTACCGTCGGTTCTCTCAGCAGGATTTCCTATGGCAGACGTTGCTACTCCTGATGGCTCAGCGCCAATTGTTCCATTGCTCAGGGATCCTGATGCGCCGCCATCGAGTGCTGGCTCTGCGGGACAGTCTGAAGTTCGTCCGGCGCCGCCGCCTATGACAGAGGAGCTTAAAGCTCGCTTGGACAAAGTCATTTACTCCGATGTAGGTGACTCATATCATATCTTCATCCCACAATGCGCGAGACGGAGCACTTGCAGCTGACCCCAAGCTCTTAATATCTTTAGATCGGTATCACAACGCTCCTGGCACGATTGAAGCAGAGCGTAGCTTCTGCGAAGGTGCGTTCTGGTCGCATTATGCCAAACCGTCCAATCCTACGGTTAGGAGAAGGGTGCGCTGACCGAAAGACGTGCAGGATTTCTCCGCATTTCTCAAGAAACGGTCCTCTCTGGAGGAAGAACATGCGCAGGGTCTGAGGAAGTTGTCTCGTTCTCTTAATGACGCTGCCAGCCGCCCCGACAATCGCCAAGGCACTTATGGCTCCAGCTACAATGATCTCAATCGATTCCACGAACGCATGGCGGACCATGGACTTCAATTCGCAGTATCTCTGCAGCAAATGGCCGACGACCTCCACGAGCTCGCCACGAATATCGAGAAGGGACGCAAACATTGGAAACAGACCGGTCTTAGCGCGGAGAAAAGGGTTACTGAGGCTGAGGCGGCAGCGGAGAAAGCAAAGGCCAAGTACGAATCACTTGCGGAGCAGTATGATCGCGTGAAAACTGGGGACAAACAGGGCGGGAAATTCGGCTTGAAGGGACATAAATCTGCTGCCCAGCACGAAGAAGAGCTGCTGCGCAAAGTGCAAAATGCGGACGGCGATTATGCTGCCAAGGTCACGGCTGCACAAGCGGCTCGACGAGAATTGATTTCCACCCATCGTCCCCAGGCTGTGCACAACATCCAGAAATTAATTGCAGAGTGTGACTCTGGTCTCACGTTGCAGCTGCAAAAGTTCGGTATGATTGTCATTGCGTCCCGACATTGGACCGGTTTCTTGATCTTTGCGCTAACTCAGCTTCAGCGACATTTAATGAGAAGTTGCTGCTGGGACAAGGCTTATCCATTACGCCTTTAGATGAGGGCGCTGGCAATGGCTCTATTGGACCAAGGAGTCTGTTTGAGGTGGTACGGCAGATTGATAACCAGAAGGACTTCCAGGATTACATTCTCAGCTACGAACATAATCCTGGTGCGGTGGCTTCGGAGCAGATTCAGTACCAGCGTCATCCGGTAGGTTCAATTTTGTCAATCATTTATTATCTGCATGCTCATCTCGTGTTAGACACTGGGAGGTACGCCCACAACCGTTGCTCCGGCCTCGCAGCCTTCCACACAGAACAAGCGCCAGTCAACCGTGTTTCCTTCATCATTTTCTCAACAACATCTTCCTATCAGTCAGCCCTCCACTCAGCCATCTGGACCGGCCGCGGCCCCGGCCCCGGCACTAGCGTCCGCTCAAAACACCCAGCCATCATCTTTCCAGCCACATCCAGACTCGTTCTCCTCGCCACCCCCATTTCAACCACCTTATCCGACCTCTTCGGGATTACCGGCTCAAGACCAGCACAATGTGAACAAACCGCCTATGACGGCACCGGCTAATCCTCTGCCGCCACCAGGAAACAACTTCCAACAGAATCTTCCTCCCCTGAGACCGGTCTTTGGGGTGTCATTGGAAGATCTGTACGCCAGAGATGGGACTGCCGTACCCATGATTGTTTACCAATGCCTTCAGGCAATAGAATTGTTCGGGCTGGATTTGGAAGGCATTTACCGTCTCTCGGGGAGTGCCAATCACATCAACCATATGAAGTCGCTTTTCGACAACGGTATGTGTAACCGCAAGTTTTAGCCCGCCTCTCTGCAAGCGCTGACCTCTTATGGACGACAGACTCATCACAGGTGGACTTTACGAATCCCGAGAGCTTCTATCACGATGTCAATAGTGTCGCCGGGCTGCTGAAACAGTTCTTTAGAGAATTGCCTGACCCCTTGTTCACTTCCCGATACTATTCTGATTTCATTAATGCAGCTCGTAAGTACCTAGTCGAACACGGCTTGCCATGTGACGAGAGCTGACACATATTCCCGTAGGGATCGATGATGACATCCAGCGTAGGGATTCACTACATGCACTTGTCAATAGCCTTCCAGATGCGCACTACGCCACGCTGAGGGCTCTGATACTGGTAAGTAATTCGGTATTTCCCCCCTGTTTCTATCTGCCAGGGTCTAATTTGCTCGATTCTAGCACCTCAACAAAGTCCAAGAACATTACATGAATAATCGTATGAATGCTGGGAATATTGCAATCTGCTTTGGGTAAGTCGCCGACCCCCGTTCTCTCCGGCACCTTCGGAAGCTGACAAGCATCGCTAGACCTACTCTCATGGGTGCCAGTTCCGGCGGCAACATTGCCGATGCTGGTTGGCAGGTCCGCGTTATTGAGACCATTCTGGTCAATACGTTCCAGATATTCGATGACGACTAGATTTAACTCTCGCTATCAGACTGGGAGCTCTACAGCCTCTTAAGGGCCACACTTAGGAGTTCAGAAAGCATGTCCGTCGCCTCTGCTTGTGCTGGAGATTGCACATTTCAATCGTCGTTCTTGATTCCCCTGTCATATTTCCGATCGTTTTCACATAGCCCCGATGTAAATATTGTTTCTTTGACGTTGGATTGACTGTCATCCGCTGAGATACCACCCCTGTTTCATAATTGACCTCTACTTCAGGACATGGTATGTATTTCAGCCGTGAACGTATTTGGCAGTCCAATTTTGGGATATATCCAGTAATTACATGAATAACGAGAAATGCAAATTTGATATGGTACAGTTCATAACAAGATCTAATGGTCCAGACTCCCTTTATCCCGCTGAATAATACAAATCATAAGGAATGTGAGGAGATCCTCCCAAGTGGAAAGAAAGCACGACCAAAGAATCTGCATAGGTATAACACATGCTAGAATGGAAAGTAGCCGACACTGGATAGCTATGAAGCCGCTCACATGCAGGAGAGGTGGAATTGAGAGAAGAGCATGGAATTCTTCTCAATAACTCAGACCATACTTCTTGTTCGCCTGGTTGATGACAGTATGGAGACTTATCCTCAAGACGATTGGCCCCGAGCACTGACATAGGGGGATTCGAGCTGCGACATGACGCAGTAATTCGCGGTAGTTTGAAAAGGATGATTTAAATCATTTCTTTCCTGTCATCATGTCCTTCATTGCATCCATGCGCTCGGAGAGTGTGAGTCCCGGGGCAAAGAAGGGGCTGTCGAGATCTTCGACAGTCGTGGGAGTGGCATGGCCCCAGATACGCCACTCCTGTTCTTCACCAGTCCACCGAAGCTTCTGGATAACGATGTATTCCGTGCAGTCTTGCTGCTTGGCTGGCGCAGGCTCTGCGGCAACAGCGCTTTCAGCGCCGCGCTTGGGGATAGTGATCTTGGTCGTTGACTGACGGCTAGTGATACGCACGACAACCTGTCGTACTCCAGAGTCAGGCAAGTCTGGAATTTGCGTGGCGCGATCAGCCAAGACGCGAAGACCCGTGAAGAGCGTGCCTGGTGTACGGTTGTATTTGTCAAGGGCCCAAGTGATCTTTTCATCCTTCGGACGGCTGGCTATGCGGGAGCTGAGGCTATTTGCGAGGCCGGTGCAACAGATCTTGCGCAGGGTATTGATATCTCCGCTGTAGAGAATCAAAAGAACTGGTTAATTGAGTGCGCGAAGCTCGGGGTGATATGAATAACAACTTACTCAGCAAAAGCAATATACATTTGCTGATGTAGCTCGCGAGCAATCTGGCGCCGCTCCTTCAGGCGCAGCGGTAGTCCCTTGTTGATCCATTTGCTGTAAGCGATAAGCCTGGTATAGGTCAGCACCAAACTGTTTTGGAGGATTCCCATGCTACGCGAGAGTTTTCCCGGATAGCCGTAAACGAGGAACGGCACACATACCCAAGGAAGTTCTGAACCGCATTCTTCAGCCATAGCCACTCAAGCTGTAGACGTTCTTTCGGTTGTTGAAAGATTGATGGCATGTCTCTCCACAAAGGTCGAATGAAAGTTCCGGGCAAGAGCCCAATGTCTTGAGGTAATTCCGACCTCGACAATTCTCTGCCTCTGGTTCTCATACTCGGTTGTGCAGGCTGCTTAACTGAAATATTCTGCGGTACGCCAGACAAGCCGCGCTGGGCAATCTGAGACTGAGAGAAGAAGCGGCATTGGCAATATGCTACAACTGCGGAACCCGACGAAGGCGCGGTTCGATAGAATTGGGCAATGGGAGCGCCGGACCGCACAGCCGTGCGCAAGGAGCTGGGGGAAAGCCATAGGGAGGACGCCATTATGGGCGAAGGCAACAGGAGCGCCGAACTGACGGACTGGACTTTGGGATGGCCTGTTGAATCTGCAACAAATTATTCCATCCAGATAGAAATCACGGGATGGGGCTGATCACATGACTGGCTTCTCCGCTGCGGGTCTCCAACCGGCGTTTTGGCATTTACCATCACAATGATCACTCTAGTCCGCGCGGCACACTGGCTTTTGAAAGTGTCAGATCCTGGCTGCATCTCTCTGACTTACTTGGCTGCTTTTCACTCTCCTGAGCTATAAGTTTTGCAATTTTGCCCAGCCAGGAGCCTTGTTCTCGGAAAGGGAAAAATAGGAAACGGAAACCACACGCCTTCAGCAAGGAGAACAGGTCCCCGCACAATCTAGCGTATCATTCTCTCGCTGGCCATCTCGTTGACCTTTTCCCCTTCCTCTCTTTTGGGTGTGATTGCGCAGCGGCCGCATATGCCGTGAAATAAGGCTGGCTCCTCCTCGTCGTCATGTCGCTCCTGCGCCCTTCCCCCTCCATGATCAGCTTCCTTCTGAGCCTGTTATAAATACTCCCCGTTCGGACTCGAATCAATCACCACTCCCGCCTTCGTACTCTTCAGTTCGCAATTCAAGAGGCGAGCTTCGAGATAAAGGCGTGGCTTCGCCATCTACTTTGTCCGCCATTGTCCCTCCATCCCCGGCCTCACCTGCATCACAATCTCCGCTCAACAACGATGCAGGACACAACGCTCCCTCTTCGGCGCTTCATCCTCGCGTGGCCGTCATTTTGGGAGTCGACAGGAAGTGGCACGCGCCTCTGCTGGTCTGTCGGGCGCTGAGCACGGTGCCTGCTGCATGGTGGGGGCTGCGGTGTGCTTTTACCTTTCTGGCTGAGCTTCTTCACATACGACCGGGGATGGGACGGGAGGGATGGGCAGCAGCAATTATCGGGAGTGTTGGACAAGATTGGGACGTAGAGAGGAGATTTAGAGTGACGGAGGTGGCATTGGCTATTATGTGGGTATGTAGAATGGAGATGATTCTCGCGACCCGTGGACCCTCTGAGTTCTACTTCATTTGGAAGGTTTGAAGCTTTTGCTGACCATTGCCTTTCTCCATAGTGCTGCGCATCCGCATATCTTTCTTATTTTTTTGCTGATTGCATGATGTCTCGATGGTTCGTTTACTTTCTGAGCTGCATGTTTCCTTCCGAGTTGCTGATCACTCTCCGCAGGCTTTTAAATTATACCCCACCGGCTGTTGTCATTCGTCTTCTTACAACAAACGGGCTGATCGCTTACATTACTTCTTGGGTTCTTTACCTCTCCGGTGCATCGTCAGATCCACGTCTTCTTCTACCGGCATGGATATCGATCACAACAGTACGTACGACCCTTTCTCCCTAATTATGCACTTTCAAATCGTCGATGTTACTGACATCTTGAATCGAAGACCCTTACTTTCCTCTACCACGCCACTCAAAATCACGCCACAATCAAGCGTGAGACAACCGCATCGTTGTTGGTTGTATCAGTCGCCAGCTTCGTCAGTATGTCCTCGCTTCTTTTGCAGCTACACTTGACCCGCGAGAACGAGCCAGAGGTGCCTTTGTTCGTGATCACGCGGAAGTTGTGGGACTGGGCCGTTGCAATATTTCTTCGTATGCGTGTTGCGGATGCAAGGGCTGGAGCTAGGGAGCTGTAAATATGGTTGAAAACATGATCTTTTTTCTATGTTTACTAGATAATCTATCTGCGAGCCTTGCGAAGCCTTCGTCTTCGTAAAGCGCCCGTCTACTATGGGAGCAGGCTTTCGTCGATAGAACAGAATTTAATTTGCCAGAGTCTGAATACTATTTACCCGTCGAATGAGATTGCACCGATAAAAGAAACCCAGTTAAATAATATTTCTCAAAACTGGTACAAACAGTCAAGGTAACATTTACTTGACGAACAGAGAAGAGCCAGAAAGTCCCTCTCAAGACGTCTGCTGCACAAAACAGGCCGTCACATACTGCGAAGCAGCACGACATAAAAAGATAAAACAAACTGAAAAACATCTATGCAGATAGTGGGTATCTACCAACGCCTCGTTCCGTCGCTAATCCCGTTCTTAGAAAAACAGTCGAGTCAAGAAAAATATGAGAATCTGAGACCCGCTTCAAGTGAGTCGTCCGCTCACGAGAGAGCAAAGGATTAACTTTGAGCGCGTCATTTCGACATGGCCCAAGTCCAATGTGCCGGGCACAGAGATGGTTAGGAGTAGAGACCAAGCAGTTTTGGCAAGCACCACGCAGGTTCAACCCAGGGATGGACAAGACAACATGCTCCCTATCCCAAGCACTCTGAGGGCGATGTAGACTGGGAAGAAGGGACCGGAACGGGGCGCGGCGTCTGAATTAGAACCCATGGACTTTGATGGTCTTGGCATCGAGCTCGAGACCTTCCTTCTTGTCGGTCAAGAACTCCTGAACATCCTTACGCTGATCTCCTTGCAGCTGAATCACCTCTCCCATCTCAGAGTCATTGACGATAGTGCCATTGCACGCTATAGAAGTGTTAGCTGTTTGAGTCATATAACTTCTGTCGGAGGCTCTGGCAGCAACATACCGAACTTCTTCTTGATCACTTTCAAAATCTTCTTCTGATCGAACTTCTTAGGAAGACCCTGAACTGTGGTCAAGGTCTTGCGACCATTGCGTTCTGTTGAGGGTGACGGTTAGCAACTATGGTCTCAGGTGAAAGAATCTGCCATTGGTAACGGCATATGAAATGATGTGGAGGATCAGACGTACGTTGAATCCGTATATGGATGTAATTCTGAGACTGTTTAGTCTCGCCGGTGTCTTCGTCAGCTTCGGCGAAGGGGTCTGTGTAGAAGCACGTGTCAGCCTTAGGCTCTCATGACCTCAAAACTGCCCCGCCAAGCCGTTCTCCAGATACGTATGGCAAGACGAAGCGAGTAGCAACTCCATGAGGATGGGTTATCCATTTTAAAAGAGTATAAGTGGTGCCATTGCAACACTGTGAAAGGAACCGCAATGTTCTCCCAGAATGGATAGCAGAAGGGAAAGAATCACAGGTAGTTAACGGAGGTGGCAAAGTCACTTACCGAAGGTCTTGAGGTTTTCGATGGACATAAACTCGGCCTTTGGTCGTAAAGGGCCCTTAAAAGCGGTAGTATATAAATGAGCGAGGCGAGAGATCAGATGTCTCTTTGTAGGCGCGAGAGATTGCGAGCTTGCGAACGGAGGGGAGTTGATCGAAGGTGGGATGGTGGTGTCAGAGAAAGAGATAGAAGAGGAACAGAAGAGCCTTTTGAGGGGCGCACCTCGATTTAGCGCCCTTGTGGGGGAAGGCGGTGTGGCACTGACTAAGCCACCCTGGCACTCGCATACCTAAGGTATATTTATAACCTCATCACTTCTGACTGGGCCACCATTCAATGGGAAAAGCGCTGTACTGTGGATTCCATGGGTAGTGGATGGCGACAAGTATCTGGAGTCCGACCTGGGGGTGGGTTTGTCCTTGACGCAGTGGCGAGATCACACATTATGCTTGAGGAATAGCTACATGACGGGTATGTATCGGCGGGTAATTTGCGAACGTGGATGGAATCAGTCATTCCATCGGTAGTAAGGTATTATTACATGAATTTTGATGCCATAAATTACAAAGATATGGTCACAATGCCACAGCGTGCATAGATAAAAATAAGAAATAAGTCGGCCATGACAAGGGCACATGGCCTGGCTGATTTAGAGCACTTGATGATTCTTGCTTAACTTGACCATACTTTTCAGCTTTAGTCTGTAGTATAGCGTTCGTGACAGCTATCCTCGAAATGCGATAGGCGACTTATTTCCGGTATGACATGATTGGTATTTTAAGGTGAGGGTGAAGGAGAAGGAGCAACAGCGGTGTTTCGTGCGGATGGAGGCGGCATAAATATGGGGAAATATGTCTGCGCGAGAGTGGTCAGAGATAGGTCGGGCTACTGAAGGGTTGAAAGGGAACAATATTTCGGTTACATACCACGACGAGCGCCATTACTGTGGAGGTTTTCAGCTGTCAGTCATATTCCGCTCTCACTTGCGGGGGAAGAGGGCAAGACGAACAAGACATCAGGACGGACATGTATGCAGGGGTAGCTGCCGACTTCTTTTGCTCGGGTGTTTCTCCAAGCCACGACTGGAGAGAGAAGACGAAAGAGACCCATCCAATCATCCTATGCACGCCGCGCACAGTTGTCAGATATATAGCTTGAACGGCTCGATGAGGTATCTCTCACCTATTCCGAGTGAACATCTACGGAGAGAAAGTTAGCATGCGTCGAGACCGTCACCAAGAGACTGCAGTTTTGACCTACCGCGGCCATTGGCATAGTACTAGACATCACTCCTAACGCGGAGTATCAGCCAGATCGTCCCTTTTCTGCACATGGTTTCCAAGCTCAAAAATCGAATGGTTTGGTACCTGACATATCGGCCTCATTCTTATCCTTCGGTGGCTCGATGTAGGGGATGGCTACAGTTCAGGTCAGACATTAGGGAAATTGCGTCTCATGATTGAGGCTGGGCTCTGAGATAGACTTACCGAGGTCTAGCCTCCGCATATCCTTCTTTGACGCCATTTTTATTCTGATGATTTGACGGTTAGTCGCACGGCTTCTTTGGACAGAGCAGCGTGATAAGGGATGTTGCATTGATGGGCAGCCAAGCAATCATTCTGACGCCAATACCAAAACGGCAAGGTTGGATGGAGGTTGGTTAGATAACCATCCGTAGATAATCCGTGGCGGACTGCGGGGAACAGTTTGATGATCCGTCCATGTTTATCGATCAGCAGTGGATGCTGGCGAGCACTGGCCTTTCATTTGATAAGACAGAATCGGTCAGAGTTTGACTGTATTGGGACATGGACTTGAGTCGGCTGAGAAGGCCTGGATACTGGCGGGATAGGTGAAAATGGACAATGAAGAACATCCGGGTAACCATAGTATCAGGAGCATTTCTCAGCTG